CGCAGCTAGTGGGGCAGGCCACGGTCCTCGAGAAGTCAATTCTGATGGACTTGGCCCTTAGCGGGGATTTCTTTCTGTGCTGGGCTAAGCGTATTGTATCGTACCAGAGATGTTACCGTGTGAGTCTGGAAGCGAACTCCCCAGGGGGGGGGTGGAAAGTGGATGATCTGAGCCTTGTCGGTAGTGTTTGATCAGAGAGAGCAACGATCAGCAGTTGGTCAGGATCATTAGCCGTAGTTGGCTTCCTCCGTGTTGTTCCATGGTTGAGGCCAGTTTGTGGAGGTGGTAGTTAAGGTACTCCTACTCTATTCTGGTCTACTCGTACTCACCCTACAGACTGTGCTTATTCTTCAGGACTGCTTATGCAGGTACTGAACGTATTGAACGTATTGAATGTATACCACTACCACTCCCACCAGTGGCGGAAATGTCTTTGATCTTGTGCCATTCCATTTTTGATTGATTTTTCATTTTTGATTTCTGCTTTGTCGAGGGTATACTAGCCTATCTCAGACTAGTGCGATCCAGACCCAAAAGACCCTCAACCCGCGGAGATTTAATTTACTCGGTTAGCCCCTCCCCTCCCCATGCTAATACCACTGCATTAACTACTACTCCTCTATCAACCTTGGTATACTCGGGCTTCCATTGCCACACCCGTTGGCTGTTCCTGTTCCTGTTCCAGTTCCTGTCCTGTCCCTGTCCTGCCAGTGTCACCTGGACCCCTGTTCACCGTACCTGTACCACCTATACTAGCGCATTTCAATGTGATCCAACCCGCGCCGCCTCGGCGAACCCGATCCCAACATCCAACATTCCCTTCAATTCGCCATTCCCTGCACCAACAGTGCATCACTGCCCCAGCATCCCAACCCGGATCCTAGCTCTCCCGCAGTACACTGGCCACACCTTCAATCCTGCGCGACGATCTTCGCGCCAATCTACCCAATCACCACCCACGATCCATCTCCAGCTGTGATCGTCCCCGGCATTCGTTCTGCCCCCAACCAATCACACTCCCCGCGGACCTTTTCTGACATTTGACATGTCTCTCCTTCAATAGGATAAGATCAATCATCTCATCTCATGTCATCTCAGCCCGGGCCAGACTCACTCATCACCCACCGATCGCGGGGGGGTTCTGATTGCATACTCCCCTGACTCGTGGCTTTCTTTCCAGCTTCCCCTCACCTGACTGACCAATTCTCGTGCTTACACAGTCAGCCTCGCGATAAGCGTTAGCCCATCGGGACTTTCATCTCATGACTCAATCATCTTCCTTGCTTTTTTTATACCTTTTACTTTCATCGTCAGATCCAATCCGAACCTCGGAAGCAGAGTCACCATATTTCACGACGTCAAGATAACGAGGGGAAATTACCATCACGCCTGGTGCTTCTCCAATAGTTCGATCCATTTAAATCTGACATGCGGCACGTAGCTCTCGTTCGTCGGATTTTAAATGCGAACCCGTGAGAAAATGTGCCTCCATCACAGAATATCTTGATCTCTTGGGATCCCGATTTAATATTACTGAGCGAAGGCTTTCTGTTGGGTATGGCAGTCTCTCCCGCCGGAGCCGAAGAAGGGACCCCCAAATATCCCTTAGCATGGCATTCTCTACTGTTATGTACTAGTATTCTACTTGAACAAGGACTATTCAATGTGCAGTCAATACCACACTAGATATATCAGTGGCTCTACTACTAGTAAGGGTAGCCACTAATATTAACTCTCTCGAATCAAACCCCTAGCAGAATCATTCTAAAAATAACCTACATAGAGTTTGAAGCCTTTGAGAGGCACCAGGCACCATTTCAACTTACCACAGCAATAATACTCTGCCCTCATAGCTTCTGTCTCACCCTCCACCAAACATTTTAAGTCTCATACTGTGAATTTTACAAACGCACTGGCAGGATTATACTACACTCTTGTTTGCCAGAATGGCGGAGTTATCATGTGACTACGCCTTCTATATATACCGCATCTTCATGGCTATTCTTCTTTCTTTTACCACTAATTTTATGCCATCCCCATCCTCTCCGTATCTATATACATAAAACTCACGTAAAATGCTTTTATATTTCCCCAAAGCCGCAGTTTATCAACACCTCTGCATACAGCTATTTGGACCATTCCATTCCCGAGCGCCCACGTTGGCCGCGGGAGAAGGTTATTGACCACTGTACATCTGGGTTGTGAGTTGGATCTCTCTTACCAGCTCCTCCTTGCTTCTAAGGTTATATCCCTGGTCAATATATAACTATATCTGGCCGAACAGCTAATCTGCCTGCGTGTTTCGAGGCCGATGAGATGGGGTTAGACAAGACATTCATTGCAAAGGCTATACTATCATGGTGCCGCGGCAGGTTCTGCAGATGTGGACGGTGGTCTGGAAGGACTGGCAGTGCCCACAGTGGCGAGCATCTACATGAGAACAGCCAGGGATCCGAGCCGGCGTTGTCCAAGGATCTAAGCCGAATGGCGTCATCTCAAACAAAGGCCCTGGGCCAGGTACCGCTTTGGGTGCGTTTGCACGTGGATGTAAACAAAGTAATATGATCTCTTTGATGCTTTTGAGATAAAAGCTTCCCTCTGAAACTTCTCTTAATCCTTACTTCTCTCATCTTCACCTTCCTTGATCTCTTTCTCTTCATCGTCGAATCGTTATCTTTTCACCATGTCTGATGCTGCTGTTGGCACTGCTGCCGCTCCGATTACCGTTGCAGGTCCCTCTGGGCGCACTAGTGGTGCTGCTCGTCGAGGAGGTCGTCGTGACAAAGGTAAAAGTCGAGCTGGGGCTGGAGGCGGAGGTGACGGTGATGGTGAGGGTGAAGGTAATGGTTCTCGTCCTCTTCGTGATCGACTCGCCCGTCCTTCCTTTGCGTTCTGCGTGAAATGCGTGGCTGAAACAGCCCTTCGCCCTCCTGTCGATACTGTTCCTATGATCGAGTGTGACTGGGATTGTACGAACTCGGTTTCCTGTGCTTTATGCAAGGATAATGGCAAGACTTGCTTCCAGGTAAGATACACTTTCGATTTGTGTTCGATTCGATGCTGATTTTGTCTAGATGCCTCGCGGAATTCACGGCGATTCGTACCAACTTCAGTTAATCTTCAACTGGGCACGCGAAGTCAAGACTCACCCCGAGTCCTTTGAAGAGAATTACGAAGAAAATGAACGCCTAATATCTTCATGGCGCAGTTCCCGCCCCTTATATTATTAATGAAAGAAGTCGATTGCTACCGATCTCGGGGCTTGGTTTGCGGCAGCCGATCTCGAAGTTACTCCGAATACCAAGAGATAGTAGACAGGTCATTCTATGCACAATCCGCCAGCCGTCTGCTGATTTATTCCTGCAGTTCGATAGACTGCCCCTCCTCGCAGGGGGTGGCAAGACTGTTTATTTTGGGCAGGCGATGCGTCCGGATCAACTCTACTGGAGACCATGGAAAGAAATGGATGTTGTCAATATCTTGCCGATGAAAACCCCGCTGAGTATATGCTGGATGCTATTGGACTGCGCCTGGCTCCTACACAGATATTGACTGGCCCGAGGTCTGGAGACAGTTACCCGAAAGAACTTGAACTGCTGTGAAGGCTCGGTTACCATGATATATAGACCAAGATTAAGAGCCCAACCCGCTACAAGGAAGGGGTTGCAGGGTTGGCTCAAGTTGGGTTCCACTGCCACTTTTAGGTATGTTCCGCCTTGCGTTCGATATCTCTCTTAATACCCACATTTTGCTGTCATGCGCATTGCTTTTAGTTAAAAATAGGCTAATCACGGCTCTTCTTATCTTTAGACTATTCATGTCCATTCGCGGTGTGGCGTGTCCCTGGCCCTCCGCATAAGCATAAGCCTCTGTCGCTACGCTGGGTCTTCCGGGGAAAGGACATCTTCTCTTCTTGCGGATGAGTGTTTTCCACAGACCCAGGCATTTTCCAGCGCTTCCGAGATTCATGAAATCGCCCACTCCCCCCGCAAACGCAGACTGCAATTCAGGCAAAAGCTGACGCCAAGTCCCTCCCTTGGTCCAGCTTACGTCCTCTCACCCAGCCTCACCTCTCGCATCACAAGCTCCGCCCACAGGCCGAGAATTCCCGGTTTTCTCTCTGATCAATTGGCAGATAGACCGACAGAAGAGTCTTTGGAAGTGAAGGTGACGGGCATTGGCTGCAAGGGTGCTCTCTCTGGCACATATATTACGTCCTCTGGCTATCTCAAGGACGCTGTTGCCTTGGTGGGTGACCAAACGTTTGACCGCCAGCTTCGTCAATCTTTCGAGAAGAAATGCAGTTCAAGTGGGCTTAAAAACTTTGGTTGGCCTCCCACCAGCCTACCCTTTTGCTTTCCATCCACCGTGGACCATCACAACAGTGCACTGAGAAGGTTCCAACATGGGCATGAATTCGGCATCGACCTCGTTTTAAAGGATTCGTAGCCGGCATGATTCGAGCCATATTACCCTCCGCCATTGCCACCACTATGATCGTATGGCCAAGTTCATCGTAATTTAATTTTCCTCTTGTGTAAATAGCCTGAATGATATTAATTTGCTATGTTGAGAGAAGCGAACTATGTACGTTAACCTCTAGTCAACCTACACGCATGTGGGTCCACAGTGATTGTAAGGCAGCAAAAGTTGATTGCCTCAGGCGACGATTTTAGGGCGCCTTCCTATGAGCTATCCTTCTTCCATTCACCACCAATTTCATGCCATCTTCATTTCCTCTATCTCCATTCGTCGCGTCAAATGCACAACTCTTCTTACGTTTTTCCACCAGCACATCATAAGTCTTCTTCTATGTTTAGCAATATCTGACACCACATTGCATATTTCTCGCTGCTAGGCCTTAGAAAGCAGGAACTTCTTCTCCCGTCTTAGCCTTTTGATATCTAATATCTCCTTCGGCCATGATTCATATTTGAGACTGGATGTTCAATTATCCGGGCTCATACTATCCTCTAGATCATTTGTAAAGGTACATCGATTCAATTATTCCTTATCGGATGAAAAACTCGTAAACTTTCCGGCGCAATATTGTGGCTTTCCGTCCTAAGGGGAAATTTATCTGGCATTTCTGGCTCGACAGATGCAAATGCTTTGTTCGACTCTCTTTGTGCCGCATCCCAAAGTTCTTTCATCGAAAGGTCACTTTGCCAGCGGCGGGCAACGTAGAAGTTATCCACGAGTTGCTTGAGGCAAACAGGCAAGTATCCTTGATAATCGTCCGTGGTATCATTCTCAGGATCGTAGTCCGGATCGACTGCCCAGATCCACATACCGTCGACATGACCATGAGAAATAAAAAGTGAGGTCGCAGATTCATGATCCAGGTACAAGAAAACGTTCGGAAGAAGTCCATCGGAAAGGTTGCCTCGGTTTCGTCGGTTTCTGAATTCCTGGCGCAACTTATCGACAATATCAGGAAATCGATAAGCACTACTCATCTGAGATGGCCAGGATTGCTTCTCCATCTTGTAATGGCGATAGATCTCAATACCCGAACCGATGCGTCTCAGGGATTTTTCCACTGCCCTTTTTTGCTCTCCCTCATAAACATCATATTTGGGATCAGCGACAAACTGCGGGCTCTCGAAAATCGCGTATCCCCATGTTTTCGAACCATCCTCTTGCCAAAGTCGCTGAAGCCAAGGCTTTCCCTTTGCAAACACTCTGGCCAGATCTTGCTGCAAGTCTTGCTCTGTCTCTGCCTTCCTTCTACGGATTCTCTCGGCCTCTGCATTCTCGATGGCTTTGCATTCGTTCTCTTCATAAAGAGGTTCTCGAAAGAGATCAAGACGGTCACAGACCTCGGTTGAGTAGTCTTCTTTGATGTCTTCCAACAAATCAAGGGCATTCATCAAGGCATCGTTGATGTGACATCTCATACCGTCAAGCCAGTATCGGGCCATGAGAATGTTCATTTCATTTTCGCTCAGCGCCGCGGGAAATTCGGCACCGCGTTTAAGCAGTTCCTTCTTTGTAAGAGTAGTAACTGATGCAATTGCTTCATCTTGAACCGACCGAGGAGGTAGATCGAGAAGTCGAATCCGATCGTCGACACTGACTGTGGAAGGGTCTTTCAAGTTCTCGTGCCTTTGGAATAACTCCAGAAGATCATCGGCATCGTCGAGTCCTTTTTGAACTCGGCGAAAGGCTTGGAAAAGGTGTTCCATGTTTCTTTGTTTTTTGATGGAGGGATATTGTAAAAGGGAAAGTAATAAGCAAGTTGAAGTAGGGAGATCAACTTGAATTAAATTGCAGGGGGCCGCCCCCACTGCGCCCGAGGGTAGCCCTAAGGCCACCACAAAAAGGTTCACCACTGTCGCAATTGTCCTCCCAATTCTACTTAGCCCAAACTCCTGGTCATCGTCATCCGCCGCATGTTTATGAGCTTACCCACAGGAAGTCAGCAAGTAGTGAGAGGGAGAATCTGTTTTTTCAGTCATTTTTATTATGGAAGAAACTTGGATTTTAATTCTTGGGTTTGTTTTGTTTCATTGAACATGGCCTGGGGGCCATCGTTCCTTAAAGGGGCGATTCTTATTCATCACATAATTGTTTGCCCGTTACTGCCGATATATGATACCCCATAGCATATATCTCGGCTGAAGCTGTTTTGAATAAACTTGAACCATCTTCTCCTCTATTCCCTTAATGTCTAGTAGATCCTTACAGTCATGGTTCATATCAGAGACTGGGTGTTCAAATATCTGGACTCATACTATTCCCTGTTAGTATTTCTCTTTGAGTTAGATGTACCTTACCTAGCAGCTTTCAAATCACTTCCCTTGGGAGATCTTATACCGGTCCGCTGGTAAAGTAGACAGCCTTTGAAATAGTTACCAGGAGACACCCTTGCAGGTGAAAAGTGCACCAAACTTCTTCAGACAACTGGGGATCAGGTACGGTTTCCATCGTATTCAAATACATCCAGATACAGAGGATTTTACCCTACTCTAGGTCCGCAATCCTAGACGACAACGAGAGAAAAGCCCGATAGAAGCAGTTCAAAGCACACTTAAAGTGGAACTCTCGGCTCTTTAGCGTAATTTGGTCAATAAGTACATCCGCGCCGGGTGGACATTTATTGAAATCCGAGATTGTCAAGGGGATTCCCACTCGGCGTAACAACTTCATTGCATGAGGAAGTACGAAAACTGTAGTAACAAATAGTTGAAGTTTGTGCAATAGACTAGATACAACTAGATGACCAAACACGTGCCTCAAACGACTCAGGCAGCCAATGCTTCAAACACCTCTAAACTCTCTCCCCTCATTGTGACGAACACATAGTTGCTGCTTGGTTGCCTTACTGGAAACCACCTGTACCAAGGTCCTGCTTCCCCCCCTCCCACTTCCTGCTTCCAATATTTCGTCGAACCACTACTACATATTTCCCGGTGTTCGTATCTTGGCCTCCTTGTACCCGAGCATTCTCACAATTCACCGCTAATGCAACACGTACAAAGTGTGATCCTTCATTGGCTGTCATTGAGGAGATACAGATTACGATGAATCAGTTCTTCCTCAGACATGATGCGTTCTGCACTACCATGGCCACGATTGAAACGCTCACGCGAGTCCAGTTGGGAGGCCCCTGCGTGTTGGCTGGCATTCTGGAATTCTAAAATCGCTTTGAATTCCGACCATCTGGTAGTGGTCAAGTAGAGCCTCTCGCTGGTCTTCCGGACATGTAGCTTGATAATAGAATTTCACTTTGAGCAAGATGTCTGTCGTATTTGTTCTGTTGGTTCATCTTTGTACTGGTCATAGGTGAGGTCTGCAACTCGTCCTCTCCAACTCAAGTACTCATGGAAGCAAAACAAGTCTGAAGAAACAGAGGCGATCTCCTGAGCTTCCCGGCGATTCTTCGAATCAAAGTTGTGAAAGACGTACATGGATTGAACGCGAAGGCTTAAAGTAGGGTAGCACTCATAACAACCATAGCTTGGAAAATATATACATTTGAGGAAAGAATTGTTCGAAAGATATTTCTCAAAGCACATCGATTTTATGATTGAAAGATTTTCGAGAGACGAGAGCTCGATTCCATATTCGGGTCCATATTTGAATCAGCGTATTGCAAGATAAACATGGTCAATTCCAAGATAGTAGCAATCAGGGTATGAGAATTTCTTCTCCTACCCCTTCTCTTCACTGTGTTTTTGGATTGGTACGTACTTCCCTAACACGAGTCATTAGGAATATAGAAGGCCCTAAGTAAGTATAACTATAACTTCTATAATTCTAATATCCTATTCTTTAGTAGAACCTTATTCTACTACTAACTAATAAAGACTCTATCCTTATTAAGCTTAGCTAGCTACTTAAAAATATCTAGGCTTATATCTATATTAGTCTTCTTATAGTTATTACATCTATTAATAACTTATATATCTACTCTTTTTCCTTTATAAAGTAGCTATAGGCTAGCTTAGTAGAGAAGATTCTTATTTAGGTTTATAGATATTATAGCTATATTAAATATTATGTAGGAGACAGTATAGACTAAATCAAAGTTCTTACTCTAGATACTATAGATACTAAGCCTAATATTATACTAAGTTAGATTATCTTTCTATAGCCCTTTCTTACTAATGTCTAGAGTATTGTTTTATCTGACTAGTAAGTATATTTAATTTAATTAATAGACAGATACAGATATATTCAAAATTAGCTTCTATATTTTATATAGCAAAACTATCTCAACCCCTTACGCCAAGGCTATGGTTAAACTACCTAGTCCCGATTAAGCTAGCCTATAGATTACCCCTGTGCATCATGACAAGATTAATACGCGAGTTTCCTGTACTTATGCTACAGCCTCGTTTTAGACTAGGTAGTTTCACCATAGCCTTGGCGTGAGGGGTTGAGATAGTTTTGCTATAAAACATGGAAGCCAATTTCGAATGGCCCTGTAACAGTTTCCCAATTCCACAGTCTTTCAAAGTAAGCCCTTTGGCCCTAAGTGGGAATCCTACGCTATATTGTGGCCGAAATTGGTAGGCTGATTGTGGATTAATATCATTATCTCCGCTCTATTACCTAGAGTTCGTTAGGCATTTCACATCTAAATCCATTGAACGCTAGGTCTAGGTAATGTAACCTCGTACGTGCTCCGCTACTCTTTTCCCTTTCCTAGAATACCGGTGAGTGATTTTGATCTCCATTGCCTGATTTCCGCCAATTTGTTAACCTTGAAAGCCTCTGCTCTTCGGTCGGTTGACCAGTCGGCTGGGTATGTTCATGGTAATCTTCGTCTGCTTTCAAAATGTACTCATTTATTGGCAAATCAGACTTTTGTTTGAGTTAAGAAACGCAGACTACAGCAATATGAATAGGATGGCACCCTACATCATGTGTTCTATCCTACCAACTATCCAGCTCTCATCGTACTGCCTTATTTATGAGATCAGGCAGAAAGAGTTTAATGTCCGACATTTATCCGCTGCAACTACATCTCTCTCGTTAGTGGTTTCAAAGGCCCTAATGTCAAATGATAACCTAACCTTTGTCGATCTATAATTTGGTCCCTTTCAACTGATGATCTATTCCGCATATAGAAAGGAATAAATCGCGTGTTCAGAAAGGAAATGTCGGGCCCTATGGTTGATGCTGTTGCCACTATAAAGTTAGCAGTATTTTCTCCTTATGGTTGTAAACATTCATTACAGCCTTGACAGAACTATAGACTTCCAAAAACATTACAATCTATTTTTTTGGCGCTCAAAATGAAGACCGTTGAGTTTTTCATTGCATTTGCTACGGCTGCATTTGCTCAAGAGCAGACGCTTTGCGATCAGTATGGGTACTATTCCAGCGGCAGCTACGATGTCAACAACAACCTCTGGGGAGAGGATAATGGCACTGGATCTCAGTGCACCTACATCAATTCAATCTCGGACTCGGGCGTCTCCTGGTATACCACCTGGAACTGGTCCGGTGGCGAGGGTCAGGTGAAGAGCTATGCCAACTCAGGTTATATTGGCCAGATGCAGATGTACGTTAGTGACATCAAGAGCATTCCCACCTCCGTTGAATGGAGCTATGATACCACCGACATCAACGCCGATGTCTCGTATGACCTTTTCACCGCGGCGGATATTAATCACGACACCTCTAGCGGTGACTATGAGCTCATGATTTGGTATGTTTGGCTGTACCGACTCCTTGTTATTTGTTACTAATCGAGCTCAACGCTTAGGCTGGGCAAGTACGGGACCATTCAGCCTATCGGTACTCAGATAGCGACGGCTACTATTGGCAATGAGACGTGGGAGCTATGGTATGGCGTCAATGGCGCACAGCAAACCTATAGCTTCGTTGCCTCTAATCCGATCACATCTTGGTCTGGGGATATTCAGGATTTTTTTACCTACCTGACTCAAAATGAGGATTACCCATCCAGTAGCCAATATCTCATCAGTACGTGATTCTCTTGGACAAATGCATCAAAATTTGGAACATACTAATAGGAAATACTCGACTCAGCTATGCAATTCGGCACTGAGCCATTCACGGGCGGGGAGGCTACAATGACTGTTTCGAACTGGTCTGCGAGTGTTGAATGAATTCAATTGTGGCTGATTTTTTAGGGCTGGGTGGGCGGCCGCGTGGAGTGATACATGTGACTTAAGTCACTTCCCCTAGATATGGCATATATGGGAAGAGAAAGTGGGGCCCGTGTGAAGCGTTAGACCTACAGTAGGCTGCGGCAGCATTGCGATATTTTGCCAAACGGAAATTGCGCTGCAAGGATACATATGTCAACGACCCTGCTAGATTTTAGTATGTCCAAGCATAAATTCGATTGCACCAGCTACCCAGCCATTCCTGGGGTAGCTTCAGATTCCGCCAGAGGTGAAGTTTCTCGCAACTGAAACATTCGTAATACTGCGGGAGCTCGAGAGAGAGCCTTATGAGAAGCTCTGAGGTCTGACTGTTGATATTGTCGTAAGTGCGCTTGGATAGACCATTACTGAGCGATCTCTGCTTGTTGGGCATAAGGAGAGATAGGAGGCCATGACTGCAAAGTGTCCAGGCAGAGGCGATCAACAGGCGATAGCAAATCAACAATCATCAAAAAGAGCTCGATTGGAAGATCTGTCACTTTCATATTTTGTTGGTTGTCGGACAGGGGCAGGCATTGGCACATCTTGGATTCGGGGAGAATGATTGTCCATGGTGGTGGTGGCAATTGAGAAAGAGAATAAGAGATGACCAGGGTGACCAGGGTAACCAGGGTGGTTAGGAGACTTGCTGCGGGCCACATTACAGGTAGGTTGCCTGGTACCTGAGGAAAGTGCGGATGACGACAATGGATACCTCATTTGGGTGACTTCCCGATATAGACTGGTTGGATGTGGAATATTGGTTTAAAGCAAACGCAACCACGTGCTGTCCCAAGCCCATTGTTTCCACCTCGCACAACTACACCTCCAAGACCCATGCATCGTCGACTCAGATCGCCACCTTCGGCAATCCATCCATTCTCATCTGTCTCGGAGATCTGGCATATGGCTCCACCATCGGACGCGTGGACGACACATCGACAAAAATGGCCCGAAGTCGTTGTCTACCCGGAGAATACCGAGCAACTCAGCATGCGATGCAGCTTTATTCGAATCGATACGAGCTACAAGGAGATGAAGAATTCACCATCATGAGCGGTGGGCATGAAGATTTTGGCGGCGCTCAATACCGCAGCATCGCCATGCACCTCCAGAAGGTTGGCTCAACCAAGTTCAGCAGTTCGAAGCACAGCAGCAGTGCAATGGACCCTGCCGGCTGGGTGATTCTCAAAGTTCTAGGAGGCGCTGAAGCTGGTGATGTTTACAACGCGCTTGAGAGGATGGGGTGGGCATTTCTCGGCCCTTGCGTTGCGTCGATAGGGCTGGATGGCTTCTTCTCCAGGGAGTAATTGCATCCCAATGCCCTGTTTCCAAGATAAGAACTAATACTTCCCAGTGCATCACACAGCATCGCGAAATACGTCTGAGATACCGGGAACTTCCAGCGGCTGGTCAAAATCAAGGTCAAGTACGACCATAATTGCTTGTTGAATCGAGGCAGAGTTCCTGATGCCGCGAAATTTATGGCTTGGAGCTTGCGAATATTTCTATGTGTTTGATATCTTGAAGGCACCTTTCGGACCAAAGAAAGCGAGAGTATTGGCTATACTTAAGCCCATATATTGCTGGATGATGATCTCATACGGCGTTTCTTGGATTGATCTTGTCTTGTAACTCCACACAGGCGCACTTGTCGGAGCCTCGTGGTTGTCGGACATTTCCTGACTGATTCTTCTCGGAGAAAGAATAACAATTGATCAATACTGTATTGGCAATCCAGTGGCTTGATAATCGGTCGAGGCTCCAAGCCGATAAGTTCGGGGGAGCAGGGTTCAGATGCTATTCTTGCCATTATGCAGTTTTGGACCGAACAACTCATGTCTCTTGGTTCAGCCAAAGAATGAGGTCGGCAGCTATCCAGGGTATGGCAAATCGCCGAAGATGAGATTGGTGAGCATAATTTCCTCGAACCTTGCAAATGCGCACCCTGTGAGAACGGTGATCCATTACTTACGATGGCCATAGCACACGGCGCGGCCAGGAACCGTCGATTCAAATGCGCACGGTCTGCTCCAAACCTCTGAATCGGTCCCGGAGTTTTTACATTCGACAGGCTATGTAACCCTGTCCCACTTTCGTTTTTCGGTATAGAATCCTTCGGGGAAGAGCTCCAAGTGTGGCCAGTTTTTCTTCGCAGTGCGGGGATTCAGTCCAGACCCCACATCCTGTTTAGGTTATGCTGCGGTAGATCCGTAAGCTCAGTCCAGCTTGGATCATGGAACAATGCTCTATAAAAGAGTTCGCTGATCGCAAATTTTGGAGGAGAAGGTTAAAGTTTTTGAATTTCACCTTTGACAGTTCCCACCATGCGGCTGCTGAAGCAATGGCTGTTTCCCCTGTTCGTCTGCTTGGCGAACGGCCAATCTTTTGATCCCAATAATGTGAAATCGCCAAATCAATTCGATCCGGCACATGTTGGCACCAATAAATCATCGGGTACGACGTACTCAAATCCTATCATGACGACCAATGCTGGAGACCCGTGAGTGAATTTGGTATTATGAACCAATATACCGTGGCAGTTGCTGATTGTCATGCCTAGGTTCATGGTACATCATGATGGCTGGTATCTGTTCACATATTCAACAAACGACAACATCACTCTCAAGCGCTCTCGCTCCTTGACTGACAACTGGGACACGGCGGAAACGAAACTTCTATTCAAGCCTGATCCTGAAAGTGGCGATCCATGGAGCACCGACGTAAGTCCAAGCAAGGTCCAACCGATCTGCATCTTCTCATTTCCTGAAAATCCGATCTAATATGACTTTTAGCTTTGGGCTCCAGAGATTCATCAGATTGATGACCACTGGTACATTATTTTCAGCGCGACTCCGGATGCAGACTCACCTCATCCACTTCAAGACGCCATGTGTCCATTCGAATGTCCCGCTGTCAACCACCGAATGTTTATCTTAGAAAGTGACGGATCAGACCCGTGGGCCTCCAAATATTCCATGAAAGGAATGCTGAATACCTTTGACCAATTCGCTATCGATGGAACCTACTTCCGATACGATAAGCAGCTTTACCACATCTACAGCTGCTGGGAAGATACTTACAGTGCCTGGCCTGCGAACCTGTGCATTACTCACTTGAGCAGCCCTTGGAACGTCTCCTCAAGCCTCACACAAAGACGCATGATTTCAGTCCCCGATGAGCCCTGGGAACAAGTCCCCTACGGACGAGCTGGCCGACTTGCAACCAATGAAGGCCCCCAGCAACTCACAAACCCAAAGACTGGACAGAACTTCGTCGTCTATTCAGCCGCTCGAGTCAATACTCCATTCTACTGTCTTGGCATGTTGGAGCTAGTGGGTGATGACCCTATGGAATATCAAAATTGGAAAAAGCATCGCGATGGCTGTGTCTTCCATCAGAACCCTGATGCCGAAGTATATGGTACAGGTCACGCAAGCTACACAACTAGCCCGGATGGCACTGAGAGCTATGTGGTCTACCATGCACAGACAACGGATGATCCTACACGTGAGTGTTTCTATCGTCTATGAAATTAGCATCAGCCGATTCTGATCAAAGCGAAAATTGCTAACTTATTCACTAGCTGATCTCTACCGTACCGTGCGCACGCAGAAGTTCACTTGGAATGAGGATGGAACGCCGAATTTCCCGAAAGCTCTGAATGGACCTTTCCCGGTACCCAAGGGCCAGAAGTAACTGCAAAATGTAGCAGTGAAATACCAGCTCATTGGCCCCCAGGTGATGGAACACTAGTTCTAATTCTGATTCCTGCTCGGGGCTATATGATTTTATTCATGGAAAATGGCCCCTTGGCCCCATTACTAGAACATTTCTATAGTGGTAAATGGGGAGACAGCCCCCGGGGGACCCAACCTACAACATATGTAGTACATATAAAGTCCCGCCGTCTATTCTACTTTCAAAGAGTTTAAATTCACTGCCACGGGTGCTCCTTTCCTACTAGTATTCTTCAAATCCCCACTGTTTGCCAAAAGGAATCGACATCATGAAGCTCCTCAGCCTGCTTTTCCTTGTCACCGTAACTGTCGCTTCCCCCAGAAGTTACTAGTAATAGTTGCCTGAGCGGTATGCCATCTATCAAGCCCCTGGCCTTGCTACTCCAAACTAATACCCTATTCACAGTCGATGACGAATGCGCCGGTGTGGACGATGGAAATTGTTGCTACAACACGTGTCGGTATTACTATGATCAAAACGGCACGGGCAGCTACAGGTGCAGACCTCACACCTGAGCAAGATGGAACTAGAACTTAAATTCGCAAGCGCATCGAGGACCTCTTGCCGCTGTGCGGGTGTAGCGAACCGCATGTTTAATGTCTATGCATCTAGTTACCGCGTGTATGCGGACACCTTTTTCTTTCTCCCCTATGGTTGATACTACCAGTGGTATTATTATGATTGCATGCTACTTCTTGTTGTCATATTGATCTTCGTCGTATCTGGACACGTCGCAATGGGGACGATTACCAGCTTCCGGGTGCCGTACTTTTAGATTAATGTGTCTTTGGTCTGTGAAATATTTTCAAGAAAGGGATAATAAATATGTTCCAAGTAGTCAATTAAAATATGCTCATTTTATTTGGCGTGATAGGATCCCCATTCCACCAAATAAACACCGGGTAGTAGTCTTGGCCGTGGGGTTAATCTATTTAGCCAAGCGGAGGTACAGCCGCGTTGGCTTCATTTTAGCCGGTACGGATAAAGCAGTCCGGCGGGATGGCTGCTTGAATGGCATTAAATACCACGCCAATGGTTCCTCTGAGATAAATCCTCGGCTTTTGGTCAAAATAATCACGAATAGGTGTATTTTGTCTCCCTACTCCACGAAAAGAACCCAAAATGGCACCCAACCCACTTATTACCCACCTCTACACTGCCGATCCATCGGCCCACACCTTCAACAACAGACTATACGTTTACCCCTCTCACGACCGCGAAACTGACATTGCCTTCAACGACAATGGCGACCAATACGATATGACCGACTACCATGTCTTCTCTATGGACTCTATTGACGGCCCTGTGACGGATCATGGGGTTGCTCTCACCGCTAAGGATGTGCCCTGGGTATCCAAGCAAATGTGGGCGCCGGACGCTGCCGCCAAAAACGGGAAATACTATCTCTTCTTCCCGGCCAGGGATAAGGAAGGTATTTTCAGAATCGGAGTTGCGGTGGCAGACACGCCAGAGGGACCCTTCGTTCCCGAGGAAGACTTTATTCCGGGGAGTTACAGTATTGACCCAGCCTCATTTGTCGACGAGGACGGGCAGGCGTATCTGTATTTTGGTGGGATATGGGGCGGCCAGCTTCAATGCTGGACTGAATCCGAGAATGGCCTTGTCTTTGATGCTTCGAAGACCGGTCCACATGAACCATCCGGGGAGGGCGTTGTGGCTTTATCGCCGCGTGTTGCTCAGTTGAGCGATGATATGCTCACTTTTGTCGAACCGCCTCGCGATTTGCAGATACTTGCGCCGGAGACTGGGAAGCCCATTCTGGCTGATGATCACGAGAGGAGGTTCTTCGAGGCGGCTTGGATGCATCGTTATGGTGGAAAGTACTATTTCTCGTACTCGACCGGAGACTCGCATTATTTGGTCTATGCGACGGGTGATTCGCCGTTTGGTCCTTTCACGTACCAAGGTCGGATTCTGGAGCCTGTGCTTGGATGGACGACGCATCATTCAATTGTTGAGTTCCGTGGGAAATGGTATTTGTTCTATCACGATTGCGAGTTATCCAAGGGTGTTGATCATCTGCGTTCTGTGAAAGTTCGCGAAATTGTTTATGACGAGGAAGGGAAAATCAGCTTGGCTTGAGTGTACCGATTAGCTGGGCTGGCTTATTGCGATGCACAAGTCGGAGGTAGACTCTTTGTATTTAAACAATCGGAATAATAAGCATTACAACGGGGCGTTTGAGATACACCATTGAAGTAGCCTCCACATGATTCATGCCCCTTGGTCATCTAGTGTGCCATCCCCTTTTCCCAATTCTCCTCGACAATCTTCCAATACCTCTCCTGACTGCGGATACGGAATGACTTCCCGAATTTGATCATCACGAGGAAAATCGAGGCACATGCAAGTCCAACGAAGGCTGCGGATATAAAGCAATTTTGGTAACCCATGTTCTGAATCCAGGGGGTGATTCTAATGACCAATTAGTCCGATATCCTCCATTCAAGAGCCGAAAAACATACCCATAGCCAATCGCGAAAGACATTGTATTTCGCACCAAAATAACAGTGGTCATCGCTACTCCGCTCAGCTCTCGGTAGCTGTCAACCATGTAGTTGACACTCAGTGTGATACCGCTGGTATTTGTGAAGGCAAGCATGCACATCGCGACGATCAGGCCAAACCAATGAATTTCGTTCGCGGCACCAACACCCCAAAGTAGAAGTGAGCCTGGCACGAGAATTAGGTTGGCGGCAAAGGGCCACAGTCGGTGCTCTGCTTCCATCACGCCGCCATTCCGACGGGCTAACTTTACAGTCAACCAGTCACTAAAGCGACCGGTAAATAGGGAACTAAGCTAGTTAGCATTGGCGATGATTATATTTTGATCATTACTCACCCCAGAGTTACCCCGAGACAGCAGGCAACGTAACTCACACCGACCATAGAAGATCTGCTCTCTGTTAGTTTATTTTATATATTATTTGATGAGCGCCGGTACCCTTTGACTTACTGGAAGTTGTAGGGCGGTCCACCCAAAATAATCGAAGCAGTTCCGTTTAAAATATTGAACAAGACAAGATAGGATCCATATGAGAAGCTGCTCAAACGTTAGCAATCTGCAATACAATGGAAGTGGAGAAGAGTATGCATACCCAGCATAAAAGATGACCGGCCATGACAGGTAGTACAAACTCTGCCAAAGTTGTCGAAACATGGTGTTTTGTTTCTGTTTCGGGCCCAGCAGAGATAACTTTTTGATATATGGTTTTTTCGTATAGACAGTACCAACCTCCGGAATGGGCAAAGGCTCCTTCGTGACCGGCACGCCTTTCTCATTGTCTCCAACAGTAGAGCCACCATGAGAAGATCCAAGTCGAACATTGGCAACAGTGGGGTCTTCAACATGTTCGCGGACGTAATTTGTTTCCTCCATGAAAAAGAAGAGAAATACCATCGCGAAGGCGATAAAGATGCTGGGCCAGTAGAAAACCCAGCGCCAGCCTTGGTATTCGGCGATGAAGCCGCAAATCACCGGGGCGAAGTAGTTGCTGCCCGCCAAGAAGAAGGCGTATAGGCCCATGTATGTACCTCGTTCGTGTGTAAAGTACTGAAGCGATTAGCTAACCCGTAGAACTCGATAACGCCGAGAGAAGAACTTACCACATCCGTTACGCTGATCTCTGGTAGAGCTTCGATTGGTGCTGTGAAAAAGCCTTGTACAACGTTTCGAGCGATCCATTGGCCCTTGGTACCAGAATATGGTCTAGATGAATCAGTTGAGACTCAAGTTTCCTCAGAGCTGGAATTTGCTTCTTACCCCCACAGAGTCATACCCTGCATTCCAGTGTTAGTAGCGCCATCATTTTTCCACCAAGTTTGAAAGTGAACACAACTCACTAGAACTCCCGCCAATGACAATAAATATGTCAACCGCTTCCCAAATTGCATAGCGAAGGGTTGCCAGAACAACAATCCCCAGCCGGCCAACAGAAAAAGATATCCCGTGCCTTCATTGAGGGTGCTGACGGGGAGGCCCGTTGCTTCGGAGAGGGGTGTTAGAACAGAATAAACGACCGAAGTCGCGATACCGGCAAACAAAGTATAACTAACAGTAGGCTCATAGTCGTCAGTCCGGTTTTCAAGATACGTCTCAATTCGAGAAGAGCTTATACTCACGTGCTGACACAGATTGTAGATAGAAGCTTCCTTCTCGGACTCCAGTTGAGAGGGTCATCCGGGTCGTTTGAAGGTGTCGGGATCAAAACAATGTCTGAATCGCCTCGAGCGTGACGTGTGTTCAAAACATGCTGAACATCAACCAATGTCACCGTCCCCGGAATGGCAGAGCTGTCTATTACCGGTGCCATGGAGGGCGATTGAGATGGGATGCTATTATCTTTCAAGGGATACGTATTATCCAGGAATTGGCGATGGGATGGATAACTAGAGGTAGTAGAAAAGGAGAAAGGCGTCCCACTCCAAGAAAAAGCAAATCGTTGATGGGGATCCCTCAACGTCACAACGTGATAACGGGACTACCTGCTTTGCCGAAGCTAGCTTGGGGCGATAGTACTAATGGTCAAGGAAACTCTGTTGGAGTCAGGATACGGAATGTTCCCGCCGGGTCTTTGGGGCGCGGTAAGGGGGCCATTACCTGCCACTGCAATCAATGTGGAGTTCGATAGCATCAGGTGGAGCTGCAACTTTCCCCGCACATTCAGACGGCGATCATTGCCTCGGGTATGTCGAGTCGCTTGGTGTAATGCTTGTTATTATTCATAGAACTCGACAGAATGATTCCGTTTTGACTAGCAACGTGTCCGGATGAAAGGGATATGCTTTTCTACGGAGACACAACGTCATAGCTATGGATACATATATGCTATTCAACACAAGGGTAGCTTCATATGCAAGATAGACGATACCCAGATAAGAGCTGGAATTTCGGAACCTTGGAATTCGATTGAGCCTGGATTTGATAGCTCTTGCGGCGACGAAATCTGTGACTTCCGACTCGACTCATAGGGGGTAGGTCACTTGCCACAAAAGGTAGGCTACCTAGCGCTCAAACAAAGGAACCGGAATGCTTATCGGTGCCCAAGTCTGTGTCCGAGGAAAGTCATTCGTCAATTGGACTCGACAACCCACCTCGCTGGGGTCATCCCAGAAGGTCAAAGCACCCGAATTGGCGGACACGAATCCGCTACCCCAACTCTTATCACCGCCCCTCATTGGTTTTCCAGTAGCAAGCTGGGACAGGTATGTCTTTCATCAACCCTCAAGTGGTGTTCCGGATTAGACAGCCCACGTTCCCCGTCAATCTAGACAGCATCTATTTTGGAATAGCCAGCATCATAAGTTCGTTGGGGAGGCTTAAAATAAATTTGAACTTCGTTGTCTTGGTGATTTAGAGTCCGCACTTCGATTGATCTGTTGACTCCAAGTCATTATTCACAACTCCATGACCCGTGGGCGCTTTACTCCGATGTTCATGAAATATAGAAATTTTTTAACCTCCAATTTGTTCTATTGATCTCGATCAATTCCGTGCCCCGCCGATACAATGTCCAGCAGAAATGAGGGGTTGTCTCACCGGTGTAAGCGTCGGGTCGAGAAGTGCTCGGCAAATATTTGAGTTGTCATAGGCTGGCGATATAGGTGCCTGCTCTAGAAGTATTGACGGGTCTTCACTACTGGCAGGTATGGAGACTTTCAGGGTGGTTCTTTATTGCCAGTCAAACCCATGGTATATAATATTTCAAGTTTCTTTCATATACCTCATGCAGAAAGCAGCTTGTTCGGCAAAACAATGATTTAGTTCCTCGCCTTAATATCTAAAATACAAAAACATATAGACCCAGGCCTCGTAGACTGTACGCATACTAGTACAATATCGGAGTAATAATTAGAACCGGGCCTTGTGCAAACCACCATATCGGCTTGCTGCGGATCGCATAGCGCACCCCTTTTATGAATTTCAGAAACGTAAGCAATGAATTTCGATCAAGCTGAATTCATTGCTTATGATTATATGTATTTGATGAGGGATATTACCGTCCAAATTTTTGAAACATTATGATAACGGGGTGAAATTTCAAAATCCGATTCTTTCTGCCTGAACGGTTAATTAGATATGGGGGAAAGAGGAAATAACGTGGGTGCCCTAGCGGTCCCAAATTTGTAATATGCTGGCCACTATTTAAGGGAAGAAAAGCTAATAAAATAAACGTTGAGCAAGGAGTTGGAACCTGTCAGCGAGCTCCTCTTTCGCAGGGATCAGACACTCTGAGTACCCCGAGGATGAATTGCACATTAGAATGGCATTTATGATGATCTTGTTCCCTCTGACTTGGTCGCTTGGAAAGTATAAATACTAACCTGCTCAGTCTCCTGCCCAGGTGCCCAGGTCGAACTGGGAAATGCTGAACTCGTGGACGATGATCTCACTGCTCACATTCATGATTTGCTCACTGGGATATCAAACTAAGTCAAAGAATTTCAACTTCTGTTCGTATGTACGGCCACTAGCAGTCACCTGACCTACTAGTAGGCTACTACGTTTCCGAGATCCCTCTCCTCTATAAACCCCTCTCACCCAGACTAGACACAATATAATCACTGCATCACTCTCTCTTCACGTACCCTACGTACAACTTCAAGATCTACTCATCATGTTTCAGGACATAACCAGTCAGCATATTGTCCCTCAAGATTGCTTTGCACGAGAGCCACAGTTCTGGTTACATTATGGGACTGGGCCCAGCACGATAGTCAGCGGATGGCCCTCACAAGGTGGAATGTATACGCTTCAGGTGTCTAGCAGAGTGGAGATAGATTTTCTGGAATTGGACCCATTTAACAGCACGCTACGTCCAACCGATTCTGATCCTGAATGGCAACAAAAAGAGAATAAGCACTGTGATCTTAGTGAGTTATGATAATACCTTTGTTGAAAGGGTATTCTAATTTTCAACAGTGCGACAACTTGGCCCAACATGGTGGCAAAATGAAAATGTATGGATGCTAAATCAGATGTCAGCTATCCCTGATGAAAGGGTAAACGAGTATATTCGGGTTGGCTGGACATCTGATGGTGGGGTTTGGGTTTGGAAGACGACAAGATCGGACGCGGACGAGATAGGTGGAGCACAACTGCTAAATGCCCGTACCATGCAAGAACGTTGCATGATGATTGAAAAGCTGGGAGGAACTTTCTACGCCGACCCGAAGGATTGCCCTTTTCTTGATCTTCGTTGATGGAAATTTAGCATAGTGATGGTCCAACTTGTAATATACTTCTACACAGATCTTGCAAGGTGGCCCCGTCACCCCCTGAATCGTCCCAGCTGGGTCTCCCACATGCACCACACTAAACTCACTTGTCTATTTCAAATGCGCCACTAATTTATCAATGCCTGTAAAAAGCAAGGATTCACTTCGTTTCAATGAACTAGAGGGGTATTGGGAGAAACTAGTAAATGCAATAGTGCGGCTGGCAGATCGGCCCACTACGGTCACACCCGAGTTCATCTTTTACTTGTCATGAAGCGTCCGTGCATATCAGTAGTATACGGGGTATTCAAGAGACCAGCTGTCTAGTGTTGAGCAAAGAAAGGTATGCAAACTTACCAAGCCCAATTATGTCTTGACCAAATCCTTTTCTGTCCACCAAATTGGATGGTGTGGAATTGTACTGTGGTGTTTTATAGGAATATTCTGAATGCGAGTGTGTCCAAATCTATAATCAAGATCGAGCATCTGTATTCGACATGCCTTGATGATCACAGTGTATACTCATCGGTCTATCAGCATCCAAAACTGCGAGTGGCAGACTTTCTACGTCAGGACCGATATCCTAGGAGCAATATCAGAATAGCACAGTCGGTTCCTAAAACGGAAATCTTCCCAGGAAGATCTCCAAATTAATCCCACGAATAGAGAGAAGAAAGGCGAGTATTTTTTTATACAAAAAAGACATACAGCCCCTAAGTAAAGTAGCCATGGAAGCGAAAGGGGGAAAAAGAAAATAGCCCGGCCCCCGAGTCGAACGGGGATTACTTACAGCACTCGAAGTCTAGAAGGGCGCGTCCCCTTGTACTAACCCGGCGGATTTTGAAAGTATGGGTGCATTTACCCTCATCACCGAGCAATCGCCGAATTGGGCGTCGGAGGTCGTTACCATGGTGTGTGGCGTGGCATGGGCTTGAAGATGGGATGTGGTGATGTTATAGTCACATAGTGAGCAGAGCAGAGCCGGGAGGTATTAGGGTTGGGGCTCGACTTTAATCTACAAAACACGAGTACTCAGGTGTACAGTATTTCCGGAAATCGGTGTCACCCCCTACACTCTTTCATTGTTCCCCGAACCCTGAATGCTATGAAACGCTAGACTGTTTTTGGTGGCGATGTTAGCCGCCTTGGTTTTGATGTTGTATTATAAATAACCGGACTATCGTAATCAGGGGAAGCGTTGTACCTTTTCCCGACTGTCATAAATACAGTAATACCAAATTCTGAACATGACTGATCCCGAAACAAGTCCACCGTAAACGCAACGTCGCGAATAAACGCTCTGCACGGGACCTTTTCAGGATCGGCCCTCTACGAAGGGTTTCCACCGAAATTTTAATTGGTCCCGTGCAAAGAGATTGGGAAAAGCAAAGGATTTAACATCAAGCTAAGCTATGAGTAATCATGGGTAATTATGAGTAATCGGCCACACCTTTTTTCTAACTAACTAGTTACTTAAAGTAACCCTTCCGTCTTTCGATAGACATACAAAGTCGAAGATTTTATCGACGGTCTCGCAGTCACGCAATGATGCCAACAACAATCAATACAATCCCAGTTTCAACTCGACCTCGAGTTCGAGACCTTCTGCCAAAGCTCCATATAGGTCGTCACCGCACTGGCCCATTGAACTCTCTCACTGATGTTCCTGGTGTTCTGGTCCATACGCAATCGATCAATCGCCCAGCCACCGAAAATCACCAGGCCGTCAATACAGGCGTGACCACTATTCTACCACGTCGGGATTGGTTCAACCACGGCTGTTATGCCGGCTATTTCCGTTTCAATGGATCTGGCGAAATGACGGGCTCTCACTGGTTAGATGAGACCGGCATACTCAATTCACCTATTGTCCTTACCAATTCATTTTCCGTGGGTCCGTGCTACAGTGGTATCTACGAGTACGCGATTCGGGAGTACAAAAATAAAGATAGCGGCCTAGTGGACTGGTTCCTTCTTCCGGTTGTGGCTGAAACATGTGATTTATACCTGAATGACATTGGGGCCATGATAATCACACCTGATATGGTCGTACGCGGAATTGATGAGGCCAGTGCCGACCCTGTGAAGGAAGGAAACACAGGAGGGGGGACGGGTATGATGTGCCAAGGGTTTAAAGGAGGCACTGGCAGCGCCAGTCGTGTCATTGATGCCGTGTCTTTTGGCGACAAGGCAACCTATACCGTCGCAGCTCTGGTCCAGGCAAATTATGGGGCTAAGAGAGACCTCCGATTCGGCGGATTTCCTGTTGGGCGCATGATGGAAGAGGAACAGGCGGAAGTAGCGCAAGAGGCTGACACAATCAAAGCTAAAGATGGAAGTATCATCGTCGTAATTGCTACAGATGCCCCTCTTCATCCGACACAGCTCCAGCGCCTAGCTAAAAGAGCTACAGTTGGACTATCGCGCGTAGGTGGATGGGGCTCCAACAGTTCAGGGGATATCTTTATCGCTTTCAGCACCGCCGAGAAGATACCACGAGCTCCAGAGTTCAATTGGAAGCCGACAGTTGAGCAGAAGGTGGCCGTGGTACAGGATGTCACAATAAACGCATTGTTCGAAGGAGCAGCAGATGCCACCGAAGAGGCGATTTACAATGCTCTACTGGGTGCGCAGGATATGAAAGGTCCTCAAGGAAGGGAAGTCAAAGCACTTGATCACGCCTCCCTAGTGGCCATCATGGAGAGGTATCTGTAGAGACTTGTAAATCTGAGGTGTGATTGGCTGTGACGATGTGGCACATGTACATTAGTTAAGTTAATGTAGCTATGCAAACGATTCTCCTCATAATCCATGTCCAGCAGCCGTAAGAAGATTACCGTGTCGAAATTTTGCTTAATTCTGCTGTTGAACTGCTCGTTTGTCATAGTGTGGAAGGATACCATGAAAGATCTGAATCCCGCCATAAAAGTTTTAAAATTTTATCGATTGATGTCTAGTGGTCATACCTAAAGGCAATGGATTATCCTGAGGCTTTGTGGTCGCTGGAAAAATGGCCCAGAGCAATCGAAAATCACCCCAGCCGAGAAAGCAAGACTGGGAACGCGGGGTCTCCGCTACCAAGATCGGATTACGGTATTTTTGACAGTCGAGAAAAGGTACAACGCTTCCCTTGATTACGATAGTCCGGTTATTTATAATACAATATCAAAACCAAGGCGGCTAACATCGCCATCAAAAACAGTCTAGCGTTTCATAGCATTCAGGGTTCGGGGAACAATGAAAGAGTGTAGGTGGTGGTACCGATTTCCGGAAATACTGTAAAGTAGATAGTATCATTTTGAACTTTGATGGAATGTGCAAGCAAACACTGATCGCAAATTCAGGCCTTCTCAAATAACAACCAAACCAATTAGTCCTGATGCCTGATGTGTAAAAAACCAATGCTGACTGAGCCTATACTGTACAGATCGCCAAATCACAGATTGCGCGCGAGGCAGTCCAGCGGAACCTGCCGGGTACTTTGGAGAGAGAAATAGGAAATGAAATGAAACAGAGAACAGATCGAGAGATGAAATGGTTGTAAGCTGGAACCCACCCATCATACTCAGTGAGACGATCCTGCAACATCGTCGTCATTTGGCAGCTCTTGAATAACATCCTTCATGAGCTGGATCAATTCCCCGATATCCGGACGTTCCGAAGGCTCAACCTGGAGACATTTGCGGACAAGTTCCTTGACAGGAGCACTGATTGCCGCACTACCGGCGTTGGATGCATCTTCGCCGTCAGCATTGCCGGCTTTGCCCTTGCCCTTGGTGGCAGTGGACTTCTCATCAGGGAATCGCCAGTCGCCACCAAGAACACACATGCTCAGGCTACCACCAGTCTCTTCACTGCGGGCCTCGAAGGGGCTCTTTCCGACAAGACAGGCATACAGCGTGCAGCCCAGCGACCAGATGTCGACCTTGGTGTCGATGATCGACCCGGTCTTCACGTCGAAGAGCTCCGGAGCTCGGTAAGGCATTGTGCTGTGTTCTGCGGCAGTATCCTGCACTGCCAACGCTAAGGATCGGGAGGTGATAGCAATGGGGCTAGGGGCCAAGGAGCCGAGATCCATGAGAATGGGCGATTGGCCATCATCGTCAATCATAATGTTACCTGCAATCGCAATGTTAGCCTCCCAGCAACGGCGGTGATGTCATTGAAGCCTTCGTCCCAAACGTAAACGTACCGGGCTTGATGTCACGGTGCGCATAGGGCCGCAAGCCGCCATCTTGTACACCTTCCTGGCTCTGCGTGACCTCGTCGTCCATCAATGGCGCATTCTCTTCATCTTCTTCGTCGTCTCCGTGCATTTGGCTTGGTCGGCGCTTCGGCTTCATTTGCATGGAACGCTCCGCGTCGGCATTGGCACCTTCTTGTCGCACGCCCTTTGCTTTGCGGGTTGATGGCGCGCCGCTTTTAACGCGGTACTGGTGCATGGACTGGAGCGCATTGGCGACGCCAAGCATCAGCATCATCAGCCGCTTTTCCGGGAACTTGTTGTGGTTGACGAGGTTGGCGTTGATGGCATCCTGGAGATTGCCTCGTTGGTAATATGGGAGTAAGATGTAGACTGTTTTGGATCCAGCGTCCCCTCCATCGGCGCGGAACTTCGATCCCGACTCTGTCGAGACGCAGTGGTCGATTGCGTGGATAATGTTCTCATCCCCGGTGAATAGGCTGTAAGCCTCGACTTCCTTCAGTGCTTGTGAGACGGATTCTTGTCCGAAGGGGCAACGGATCTTCTTGAGGGCGAATAATTCGGAACTGGCTTTATCTTGGACGAGGTAGACGTAGGAAAAACCGCCCTAAATGGATTGGGAGCTTGAAGTTAGGCCACGGTTTCACGATGATGGATGTACTGTGAAATTGAAGACGGGCGCATTGGATTTCTTTTGCATACCTCACCCAATAGTCGCAGGAGCTTGAAGTTGCGGTTATTGATCTTCAGTTGCGGTGAGCTGGGGAAACAGCACATGCAATCTGTGAAGTTGTAGAGCAGGTCGAAGAAGTACTGCGCCATGGCGGAGGATGACGGGGACAACGCCGAGTGGCGACGGACAGATTGGGCCGATATTAGGTGAGTCCAGGAAGTAAGTGAACGCGCGATTAGGGGAAAGGAAGCCTGAGCGGTGCAGGAAGGAGGCAGGGGATATGCAGATAGGAAGAGTAATGAGGTGTCAAGTCGGGAGTCTCTCGGGCGGAATGGATGGGAGCTGACGGAGAAGTGGAGTGCCTTAAACAAATCCTTGGGTTTCTTGGGTTATTTGTTGTCCCTCCCCCTTTCCGCCTTCTATAGACCTCTCCCTCTCCTTCTCTATTTGACCATCTGTGGTTCTTTTGCTGTTGGGCCTCTATACGATCTTTCCAGCGACCATGATTGATGTCCAGTTCATCTGATCTGTCTCCCATTTCTCTCTCTTGACTACGAGTGCACATCTCACCACACCTCTTGGCTTGGCTATCGGCCCCCAGCAACCAGCCGCACCTTCGGCCCTATTGACGACACGCTCCCCACTTCTTATTTATTCGCGAACTTGACCTCTTGATTGTGTCCCAAGGATATGGCAAACTCTGATGATGTCCAGGTCGGTGACCTGGTCAACGTGCCCGGTGGCATGTATGGCACCGTCAAGTTTCTAGGAACTGTCGCGGGCAAACCAGGCCGATTTGCAGGAATCGAACTGGGCAGTGAACATTCCCAGCGAGGCAAGAACAACGGTGATGTCGAGGGACGAAAGTACTTCGCGACCTCTGTCCCTGGATCTGGTATATTCGTCCCCATGAACAACAACAAATACGTCACTCGCCGATCTACATCCCACTCTTCCAGCACCATTGCCCCTCCTACCACTCCAGGACGCGCCCCCGTCAATTTCAGCAAATCCATGGGCCCGAGCCTTTCGACACCTCGCCCACGTATGCGACGACCCTCCCTTCCTCGCCCCGAATCGCCTCGTGTTGCTCCTCCTAAGTTGAGCCTCGGCGGGTTGCGCACCCCATCCGCCGCCTCCAAGGCGTCAAATGGATACCAACGCAGTCCAGTGAAGGCGCCGTCTCGTCTATCTGACCGACCCCCCTCTCGAATTAGTTTGGATGATGATACCTCTTCTTATGGTGGGAGACCATCCGATTTCAACCGACCTTCTCGACCTTCGTCGTCCGAAGCGCTGGGCTTGAAGGAACAAGTGAAGGGCCTAGAGAAGCAGCTGTTGGAACGTGATAAGCAACTAGAAGAGCAATCGAAGACACTGGGTGATTTCCAGAAAATGTTGGAAGAAATGGAGGGCGCGGATAACATGAGCGTTCGCACCCAGTTACGTGAAAGAAATGAGCGGATTACCCAATTAACGGCCGAATTTGACGGACACCGCGCAGATTTCCGGAGTACACTTGATACGCTTGAGATTGCTGCCTCTGAGACCGAGCGCGTTTACGAGCAGCGTCTCGATGAGCTAATGCAACAAAACAAGGAGTTGCAGGATCGCGGCGAGGATGTGGAGATCGTTGCACAACAACTGAAACAACTAGAGGAATTAGTTTCGGAACTGGAGGAGGGTCTTGAAGATGCAAGGCGGGGAGAAGCCGAAGCAAGGGCCGAGGTCGAGTTCCTTCGAGGCGAAGTCGAGAGAACGAAGCTGGAACTGAAGAAAGAGAAAGACAACTCGGTCGCGGCGCTTAAAGATGCGCACGCTGCTTCGGATGGGCCTCACTCTCACGGCTCACACGAGTTGGATCAAAAGGATGACGAAATTCGAGGTCTCAAGGCCATTATTCATTCGTTGAGCCGCGGCGGTTCTAATCCTACGGATATGGGCGAGAACGGCCATACCAACCCCCACAATGATCAGTCCGAACATGTCTCCGAGCTGGAGAAGCAATTGCATGAAATTGAGGGAACATTCCAGGGCAAGGACAATCGCATCGAAGAGCTGGAGCGGGAGCTGCAGGAACTTCGCATAAACGCTACCAACGGAGGTGGTCGTAACCGCAGTTCCACTATCACCCTTTCCCCTTCGAAACAACACAAGCCAACCAACTCTTCTGGCAGCATTCCTGCCATCAACTCCAATCAAATCCATCGTCTGTCTGACCGCACTGTGGTCCCAACCGACTGGCACGATGCCCCGGCCAACCCCAGCGAAGCTCGCCATCACCATCGTGGCGCATCCAGCTCTTCCCAACCACGCCTTGAATCCATGCCGGAATCTGAACGCTCTTCTGACGATGATTCGCAGTGGTGTGAGATTTGCGAGACTAGCGGACACGACATTTTAAACTGTACCAGCATGTTCGGCTCCAAGAAGGCCGAGAAACCGAAACCCGCACAAGTCACTGCTGAACAACCCCCGGCGGAAAAGCCAACTGATGACCATGTGGCTTCGAACCATAGGGCATCGGATAGCAATATGGAATCCCATTCTCACCAGAAAACCGGTCGTGATGTTGTCCTCGAGGGTCTGAAGGGTATCGGCGGCCTAGGATCCTCTATGGCTCCAGCTGCCGGTAAGTCATCTGGTGTTATTGATGAGTCCAAGTGGTGCGCTCTCTGTGAGCGAGATGGTCATGAGAGCATCGATTGCCCTTTTGATGAATAATGTTCTCATGGTGAATATATGAGATGGCAATCGAGATGGAGACGAACCCGATTGCACTTTGCCCCGAACCCCTTCTATTACATGGTCCCTTCTTTTTTTTCATATTTACTTCGTCCCCCTTTTTTTATGCACACCAGCATGAGATCCGATCTGGCTCCAGTCCCATCGTTTGATGATCACGCCTGTGCTTTCTTTTTACTCCAACCAATTTCACCCCCGTGTATTATTCCCTTGATCATTTCGGCTTCTCACCCATTCTTTCTCAACTGTTGTTAACACCCTTCACCTTCACTTTCTACGGTTTGATCCACCAAACCGGACTGGCCCTTGCTGGTCGATTTTCTTTTTCTTCTACTACATCTCACATCTCTTGCTTCCATCCGATTGCCATTGTCATCCGCCTCCATCCTTGAGCTGGCGACCCGACCACAACTAATCGACCATTTACTACATGGCTTGGGACCAGCCATCTGGTCCAAGGACCGGGCCGTACCATACTGGCCTCTCTAGACTTGAGCTAGAACCCTGTTAATACAAAATCTAAATCTAATTTTGATCCTACCCTGTATCTGGGGTGTACACAAGCAGTGCTTTGTCTCTCCTTCAAGCCCCCGTACTTCAACCCCCCTAGCCAACTTGAAGCAAGCCCTGGGTACAACCTGCATGCGGCAACAATGCAAGTCCACTGGATCCAATGCATTGCCATCAATGGAATGTTGAATTCATCACTCATAATACACCTCGTGAACTCGTCATACAAATCGTTTTCAAGATATACATAATGCTGCTACGTAGTACACACCCTCCGAGTCCCCCACCACAAATTGCAATCGCAAAGCCACAATCACGGCTGTACAATCTCACCCTCAGCATACTTCGTCGCCGCAACCTCCCCACAAGCCCTACACCTCCTCTTCCCCTCATCACCCGCAAACTCCTCAACAACAGCCTTAACCTGAATCCCAAGATCCGTACAAATAAAACTCTTCTCCCACACCACCTCCCCACAAACCCGACAATACCACCGCATTTTATCAATAGCCCCCTCAGCACGCGGCTGCTCCATCACCACGCCAACCGTATCCGTAAACCGCACCGGACAGTGCGGCGTGTTAGCCGGGAGCAGGAATATAGAGCCCTCGTGGATGGGGATATCTTGGAATGTGGGTGGTGTGGTGGAGGTATCGACGGTTTTGAGGAGCATTGAGCCTCGGTATTGGTAGAAGAATTCGGGGGTTGTGTTGATGTGGTAGTCTGTTCTGGCGTTGGGGCCGCCGACTATCATTACGGTGTAGCCGGCTGTTGACGGTGTGGAGGGGTGGTAGACGCAGTAGTTGTTTACGGGTGGTTGGAGGAGGTGGGAGTTTTCTTCTAGCCTGACAGTGCGTTATAGATGTTAGCTGGGGTCAAGGTTGGGAGGTAGGGTTGTCGCGGGCACCCCCGCGATGATTGATAGTGGCGGGGGTTCGGGAAAGATAATCTTATGGAATGCGCCGGGATGAGGGTGGGGTTGATGAGCGTACCATTTGGGGATGTTCAGGGCTGGTGGTAACATTTTGCAGGTGGTGATATTTGAAGAGATCAGATTTTTCTTCTGCTGGTAGATATGTGGGAGATGGCAGAGTGTGTCGTGAGTGATTACAAAGTTAAAGGATGGGAAGTCCGGAGATAACTTGGTGAGCTCACCGAGATCGGGCCGGGAGCTTCCCAGGGTCCAGTTTAACGGATGATTATTAAAGTGGGTACAGATTGATTATTGGAAGTATATTTTACACTTTCGACTCGAGTCTTCAATACAGACAATATTTCTGCCATTACATTCTCCGTGTCTAATTATTGCCGTGCCTTGCTGCAGTGTACTATACTGCTATGTACTTCTACAGCGAAGGCCGCTGATAGGGCCAATTACATTTCAATCATATACTGTTTTCCATATCTCAGATTTGGGAGTATTTATAGAATTTTTGTATGAAATATGCAACGTTTCATTGCCACGAACAAGCACATTATAGATTTTTAACCAGTCAACTACCATTTTCCGATATGGCCCCAATATGGCTTCCCCTGCACGTGTCACGTGGCGCCTATTGCCAGCGGGGTTATTCACAAACTCAGCCTCAAACAACTTCTTGAACAGGAGTAATCATTGAAGTCCTCGAGTCGTGGATACTCGCTGTATCGGCCCGATTGCCGATTAGAGCGAGAAGATGTCCCGACTGCCAGATCTAGTCCGCGATTCGAAACTCGAAACCCGATTTGTACCAGACTTCAGTGTCGAGACAGTACATACATATCACGAGTCCGAACCGGCTCGACGTCGCCTTGTCTCTGTACTAGAACACTGGAAACGACAAGAGAAGATCGGAGGTGGCGGCTATTCAACCGTCTGGTTGGAAAGTTGCCCGAAAGTTTCTCGACAAGGTGTTCAAGTTCGAGCTGTGAAGCAGATCGAGACGGGCGGGCGCTTTGCGCGCATTGATTTCAATCGTGAATTAGAGGCCATTGCCAAATTTTCGCATCCGAAGGTAAGTGACTGTAGAACTGACTTTCTGGGTATGTTACTGATAATATACATGATAGTACGAACGATGCTTCGTCAAATCATTTGGGTGGTACAATACCCCCGAGAATCTATTTATTTCAATGGAATATCTCAAGCTAGGCGATCTACATGACTACTTGCTCGATAGACCTCCGCTCTCGGAGAGCCAAGCACAGGATATCTCATATCAAATACTCGAAGGCCTCCAAATGATGCATGAGAACGAATTTATGCATCGTGATCTCAAACCTAAAGTGAGATTGAACCTTTTTCATAAAGGCGATATGCTGACGTCTAATGTAGAACATCCTCATCAAATCCCATCCCCCTCAAGAATGGTGGATCAAAATAGCAGACTTCGGCATAAGCAAACGGATGGAAGAATCCCCTGAAACGTCAACAACATTGAGAGGCACCGCCGGCTTCATAGCTCCTGAACTATACGGCTTCATTAAAGCGGGCAGTCTTTACTCACCAGATATATGGTCATTGGGAGAAATCATTTTTCAAATCCTCACCAAGAAGCCTGCCTTTAAACCTATTGGTCAACTAGTTTCTTATATGCGACAACCTGAGATGTTCCCAAGCGCAGTGCTCAACGATGCTGGTGTTACCGAAATCGGCATCGAGTTCGTACGATCATTGATGGATCCTATACCTGATAGTCGTTTGACAACCGACGTGGCACTTGGGCACGCATGGATGCAGGCGCCATCTGAAATACTGTCGACGTCAGAAGCGAGGCCTGTACCGACAGTGCACGACTATCAGAATCCGACAGAAACAGATGAACAACGAATCGAATCGCATACAGAGGTCGAGAAGAGGGGCTCAGAAACTCTGCGTCCGAAAGGGAAAACCAAGGGCATGGTTCCGAAGGTTGCTACTGTTGAAGACTATGATTCCACCGACGAGGATAGTCCCTCTTCGCCGCTTCTGTCGGGGACACTGGAAGAATATGGGAGTCCAATGGAAAAGGATACTCTAAAAAGCGAATCGCTTACGGAAATCCAAGCCAATGGCTCCGAGGCTCTGGGCTCAAGCAGTAAGGCAAAGAGTACGAGTCTGAATATGGCACCTGATGAAGACCGTTATGCCACCGACGAGAGAGGGGCGCACGCGCTAAAATGGTTATACAACAATCTGATTTCATCACAAAAACAAAGACTACCTGGCGGATGGCATGAAGACTATTATGCTACCGACGAGGAAAGTGACTGTTCGGCGCGCTCGTCTGCAGCGGTGCACGGCTGTCAGACTCCATCACAAAAGCAAAGGCAACGTGGCGGATTGCATGAAAGAGTTGATTCTAGGGGCCCAGATATTATGCGTCCAAGGAGTATGACTAAGGGTGTGAGTCCGAATATGGCTCCTGCAGACGACGATTATGCTACAGACAAGGAAAGCCTGTTTTCGGGGCTTTCGGGATATGCGGTGTCAGCAATCCAGAAAGCAATACAAGTCAGCAAATCGCATGAAGATATTCATGAGAAGGTCTCGGAAACTCCGAGTCTAAGCCCAAGAAAGCCCATTCCGTCAAGAACAGAAAGACAACATACCGAATCACAAAATCGAATTGCTGATTGGCTCTCTAATAGAAACTGTCATCTTATCAACGAGAAGGATAAATTTCCGCCGATCTCGCTAGCGAGAGCGTTGGCGTATTATTCAACTGGGGTCAGGAATAGGCGCCAGCCTAGTGTATATGAGATGCCATGGCGAGAGACTCGCATTCCGCGGAAGCTGCTTCATCCAAGGGCGATTCGGGAACGGGGTTACCCATTCAAGGCGGAGGTAAGCAACTCAAGATGGCCAATGGCACGGATTTACGGATACAATGCTCATATATCATTAGAAGAACACTATTATAATCCAAAGGGTTCTGTCTGAAGAACAAGTCGACGAACTGATAAGTCACAGCAACGCCTGCAAAGGACTACAAGGGATACCGACAGTTTGAATTCCGGCTCACGCTTCTTGGGCGGTCATTTGAGCTTGCCTGTTGTGTACACTGTAGCGGAGTTACAAGACATCCATGGTTCTAGATAACTCTGTCAATGCATGGGTTTGCAGTTTCAAGCTTCACTAATCCATCGTTCGCCCGCTGGCCCACAGGATCTACAAGTCAGATGTGCAATGTTCAATAGGGAAATTGAATATATTGAATCCCAATTAAGTGATCGAATTAGTTTCTTTGAACAAAGAAATCAATTACCATCATCTATACTATTTCCTAAGGAGGTGGGATGTAGTATCTGATGACGGAGATAAAGGGTTGGACATAGCCCGACGCATCGGAGCGGAACAACCTACCCGCCGGATTTTTTTTCGAGCTCCGCCTTTCCTTCGCGGCGCAAAGTCGATCTCGAAATAGAAATAGAAATAGCCCACCACCAAAATGGCGACGACACAACAGGCCCCACTGCGATTTACATCGCATCACAACCTGCTCAACCGTTTGGTTCTATCGACCCTCACTGGCCGCACCGTGCACATCTCCCAAATCCGCTCGTCCTCGCCCACGAACCCCGGTCTGGCACCGCATGAGATTTCTTTCCTGCGTCTGCTGGAAGCCGTCACCAATGGCACGCAAATGGAAATCTCCTACACAGGTACAATCCTGGTGTACAAACCCGGCCTGATCATTGGTAGCTCGACCACCTCCGGTGCGAGCGGAACTGGCAACAGTGCCGCCGGTGGCTTCATCCGACAAGAACTTCCTTCCAACTGCACCCGCGGTCTGAGCTACTACCTGATCCCGCTCTGCCTGCTCGCGCCTTTCGCCAAGTCCCCTATGAAGGTGCTTTTCACCGGTCCCGGTGTCATCACTTCCTCCACCCCGACGGGTGATATGTCCGTCGACAGCGTTCGAACCGCCATCCTCCCGCTTTTCAACCAATTTGGCATGTTCAACAATGTCGAGCTCCGTATCTTGCGCAGGTCCAACCCCGGTCCCAATGGTCGTGGTGGTGGTGGTGAGGTACAATTCCAGTTTGGTCACCAGGTCCGCTTGCCCAAGACTCTGCATTTGATGAACCCCGGCCGTATAAAGCGCATTCGCGGTGTCGCATACTCTGTCGGTGTGTCGGGTTCCAATAACGCCCGCATGATCGAGGTTGCTCGTGGTGTTCTCAACCCATTGAGCCCAGATACTTATATCTTCTCCGACGTCGCGTCTGCACCGCTGCTGCCGGCCCCGGATAAGAACAACCCCAACGCTAAGAGAAAGATCGGTCTTGGCTTCGGTCTTTCATTGGTCGCCGAGTCCTCGACCGGCTGTCTCTTTTCGGCGGATGTCGCCTCCCCTCCATCTGGAGGCGAGCCGCCCGAGGATATTGGAAGGAAGTGCGCTTACCAGCTCCTGGAAAACGTCTCCAAGGGCGGCTGTGTGGCACCCGCAGCCGCGAGCACTATGCTGACACTCATGACCATGGGCTCGGAGGATGTTGGTCGTCTGCAGATTGGCCGGGAAGTCATCGCCGACCCCAGTGTGATCCAGCTTGCTCGCGATCTGTCCAAGCTTGGTACGCCCGGATGGGGAATTCGGGACGCAGCGGGCGAGAATGAGAACGGCGATGTGATTGTCAGTGTGGTGGGCCGTGGAATTGGTAACGTCGGCCGAAAGGTGGCGTAGTTCTTATCTCTACTACGCTCTGCTTTCTGCTTCTGTGCTCTGGTCTCTAAAAGTTCTTGTTCTTCGAACCTACATATCATGATACCCGATGTCCTCTCTCTCTCTCGGGGTATCCTTCCCAACTGTGGAGGGAACCCACTCTTTGCATGTATTGCATCGCATCTTTTCTTTTGGCTGGTCAAAATGGGGCGTTCCGAGTGTATACTAGTACTAGGCAAAAAAATGTTGATACGAATTTCTTCCACGATTAATTATTGAGCTGGGGGTGAATGTCTCATGCAGTAGAGGGGCTTAAGCTGTCCAGCTCATATTCCTAGGTATCCTTGATTAATTCATTGATTCACCCATTGTCCATGCGCTGTGCTGGTCCAAATGCCTGGTGGTCATAGAGTGCCTAGGTGGTTCCGCTGTATTTGATAGGACCACCACCATAGGCAGCTTGCCCTAAGTCACAAGTGCCAGTGGTGTACCTGCCGCATCAAAATGGCAACAACGTCAACAACGTCAACAAACGTAATGTTTGTTGATTATTCCCTACGGCAGGTACTATTTTCTATGGGATTATGCCTCCAAGGAAGGAGCTAATGATAGCCCTCCAATTCCCTTAAATACTGGCCCTCCCCCCCGATTTCTGTCCTTTTCTTCTTCCCTTCTTCAAATCTCTTCCACCTCTACGGAGGTGCCCAGATCTCCTTGTCATCAACATATATATTTATGATCTCGCGATTTACATGGTTCTTCTTCCCTCGGAGTTAAAATACCCTCCACTTTCTTCATTTTCTGGCCCTCTACGTTCTTGATGTATGTATCCCTCCCATGTTGCTCATGTTTCGGTCCTGCCTCACTGGGATACGCAATCTTTCCTCTCATCTCTTGAAAGAATATGAACCCTCCTGCATCTTCAGTGGATAAACCTCCCAACCTTCTTCATTTCTGCGGTCCCGCAAGAAGACGCAAGGTACGTTACCCTCCCATCTTCCTCATTTTGTCGAGCTCGCCATCATCTAGCACCAAATTTTCCTCTCTGACCCTCTGCAAGATCAGCCAGTACAATTTACCGCAGGCAATATACCCTCCCCGAACTTCTTCAGATGTTTGTCCCGGTACAAGCTTGTCAATGTTCTGGAGGTTTTTGTGCTCTCTTTTCACAATTTATTATATTACCCTCCCTACTTCTTCATTTCTCTGGTCGCCTTAACAGTTCAAGATCTACAACCACATCTTGCCGCAGGGAATATACCCTCCCGATCTTCTTCAGATCTTTGTTCAATCTCGTCGACCTGGTACTCCTGCCCCTTTTTACTGCCGCATTTTCTTCAGATCTTCCTCCTTCCAGAGCATTTGCCGAAAGCTATCTTGACAATCTTGCCTTGGATACCTGGACCATGTTTTCATCGTCTGTTCAAGTCGACTACGAAGATATACCCTCCATGGCTTCTTCTGATGAACGATCTCTCCAGGAATCTTCAGATATTGAAAAGACTTCCACCTTCTTCATTTGCTGTGTCGTCTCTCGCGCGATCTCTGCCAGACCTTGCCAGTCGATTTTTTCTACATGGGAAGTCACCTCCTCAAGCTCTTCAGAACTTCCCAAATTTTGTCTTTCGCGATTTTCCCCTGACGACGAGCTTCCACCTCAACGTGGTGTCAGGGTCCAGTAGTCCCGCTGGCTTCGGTCGACGGGACGAAGCCAAGAGAAGCTCACTCGTAGTTGTAATCTCGATCGCTACTTGATCCTTTCTCGTAGGTAGAATGAATTGAAATATTTAACGTGGAAAACTGTGCAAAGTAGATTTCTCATCTCCGTCGTAGTACGAGCAGTCTCGGGGTTAGAAAATGGAACACGGACAGGTTTGACAAGCTGAAATAATTTTTGTTTGTGTCTATCTTTCTATCGGATATGCAAGCCAGCGACCGGAAAGCAAAAAAAATGGTAGCAAGAATTCGAAACGCTCGAACGCCGGTCATGTACGTAAGTCCCATGCAGTCTTGAAGCAAAAAGAAGAGTGCGACGCCATGATGAAAGAGAAAAAAAGGCTGAACAGAAAGGAAGCGTGAAAAGAAAAAGCAATGTGCAGAATGAAGGCTGGTCATGTAAGAAAGGAAAAGTGGCAAAGAATGAACCCAAAAGATGTGCAACGAAGTGTAAAAGCAAAGAGAAGCGACTCGGACACGACCGGACCGTGGCCGAAAGATGTAGATCGATCCACTGGCATGGTGTCAATGAATCACTCAGAAACATCCTCATCCTTACCAGGATACATAATATCCTGCTTAACAACAGCCCTAACATGACTAACAAAAACAAAGATCCACATCAAAATAATGCAAATGGACATGGCGGACCCAAATCCCTGAATCCCCTTACTCTCAAACGAATTCCCAAGCGTAATAGTCGCAATTGTGAAACCCGTATTGGGGAAAACCATCGCCCACCAAGAAAGATGAAACCCAGTCGGCGGCGACCGAACAACTGCAATAAGCGCAATGCAGAAAAACCACAAACTCAACGCCCAAAGGAACGATCCCGCGGCCAAAGCCAAAACTTCCAATGTTCGTCCGTCCTCGGCTGTGTCCACGCTGCCCATTACGCTGAATGTAGCCGGTAAGCCGCGCGCCATGCCGACCAATGCGAGCGCTGTGAAGGCTGGTGGTCCGACGCAGATGAACATCCCTGGTCTATGCTCGCGGTTTGGAAGGCCGGATTCCATTAGGCGGCCGATGTAGTGGGCGTACATCATGAAGCTGAGGCAGAAGCCCAGACCTTGGAATGTCATGCCGGCTGTTACGACTGGGATGGCGGAGCGAGCGGGTTGGCGCTCTGCAATGACGGAGGCGATTGTTCCGCTTAGCATGATGGGAAAGGCCGGGAGGACCCAGGAGGGCATCATTGTTTGGAGAGGGTATTTGTGTGAGGTGAAGAGGAAGCTGTATTGGATTGTGGCCACGGCGAAGGTGCAGACGCAGTAGAGCCAGAAGAGGACTTCTAGGGTTGTGGAGAAGGATGGTGCTGGGTCGTCGCCGAAGTATTTCTCTAGTCCGGTGATCATTGTTGCGACGGATAGCCAGAAGGTTGGGAAGAAGAGGCCTTCGCGGTCGTGTTTGAGGGATTGGATGAAGCCGCCGTGAATGAAGAAGCGGGCTGCCATTAGGGAGCAGACTAGGGCGAAGAGGATGAGGTTGAATAGGTAGATTGCTATTCCGATTTCGTCGAGGCCTTTGAAGCGGTTGGGCTGTATGGCGATGAGGAGGGCTAGGCCGCCTGTGCTCATTGTTAGGGTGTACCATGCCCAGGTGAAATGGCGGAGTCGCTGGCGGAAGCTCAGATGGACGTGCTTGTTGAAGCTTGGGGATTTCTCTTCCGACTCGGAGTCATCGAGGATTGGCGTGTCGGAGTGGTTGGAGTGGGAGGAGTGTGGTGGGAGCTCGTAGGCCTCGAAGCCGAGGAGACCTGGTTGGGACATCGTGATGATATTATTGTGGAAGTGTGATCCAATGCAATTGGATAGACTTGGAAGGAGATGCAGAGACAGTGACAGTGACAGTGTTTGGATATATGAAATGAAGGATCCGAGTCTGGATTTGGACTGAGATGTAGAAAATGTCCTTTATAGATCTGGGGTATAACCAGATAAAAAGGAAATGATGCAATAGTATAATGCAAGAGTAGAATTCTGGAGAAAGGAGATAAATGCAATGAAAATAAAGATACGATTGAATAATCTTCCGGGGAAGGGCGCGTCCACTCGGGGTTTATGAACCTCAACAGCAAAAGCAGCACATGGCCAGGTAACCACCATTGATTCATTCTTTCATCAATTTCCTTCGAGGATCTACGGCCAAGAAAAAACCAAGACCTCCGCGCTACCTGGGATTGAAAAGATGAGAGCAAGGAAGGGCCCTCCTGAAAAGCATCGTGGCAAACGGACCTACCAGCGTCGACACAGTTATCAGGACCCATCGAAGCCGTGACAGAACCAAGAACTCGCAAGTAGATCGGCCCAGTTTGTCGGGCTCGGCGGGAGCCAACTATTAGCGTATTCCGCGTTTGTGCTGCATCTGAGGCATCGTCAGGGGGGGGGGATGAGGCGCAGGGCCGTCAGGATTGACACCCGACGATCCACTCAGGTCTGGGCAAGGGTGAATAGCGCCCGATAGCATACTCTGTACTCCGTCTGAGCCCAGTATAAACTCAAGAAACTTCGATGCCTGTCCCGGGAAAACGTTCATCACCGCCAGATCACTGCCAAGAGGTAGGAAGGTCTGTAGTGCAGAATGGAGTCAGAGGCTCGAGAACCCTGTGTAAATCGGTGACTATGTACGAGGCTGTGAATCCTAGAAGACCGGAATTTGTGAGATCCTTGGAAGGAGGCAAATGTCTTGAAAGACCCGATTGGAGACGAATTGGATCGAATCCTGGTCTGCGGCGGCGTCGATGTCGTCGTTGTTGTCAGAGATTGAGGAGGTTACCCAGATGATGTAGTATGCAAACCCGTTGCTCGGGCCGATAATTCACAATTTCAGGATAAATCATGTCTCTGGCCGAGACCGTTTCGCCGTGTCGGACCGCAGAACAAAGGTGATTGGACTGAAACGTTGAACCTGTATGTACAACGTGCGTGGTCGCCACGCCAAGAACAATGATCGACGACGCATCATTGATGAACGGACCGCTGCCAAGCTTTTGTGGCAGTGAAGAGGAGGGAAGAGGAGAGAAAAGGGGGTCAAAAGTGTAGAGCGGCAGAGGCAGAGACAATAGTTGAAGAGTTGAAAGAGACTAAGTGGAGAAGGCAAGTCGATAGATCTCACTTACACCTTCTGCGCTTAGCATTGCCATTGCCAACCCCCCCCCTGAACTCCACTTTTATCTTTCACAGCCTCCTGCACTATCGAGGTACATCTATGCTGCCAAGAGACCTGCCTGGATTTTTGCCGATCGCATGGCCCTTTCATGCTTATTTTTGAGGGATGCGAATTGGGTGTTGGACCTAATCTTGCCAAGAAGCCCAGCTTGGCGGTTGCGCACTCGGTGGATATCTCCCTGTCGATCTGCGTCTCGCTTGACCTGCTGTTTTTCTCTTTGCACTGCATTGTTCTATCTATAGCGAGGAAGTGCTGAGGCAGTCACTTTTTGGTTCTCAAACCCCGGAAAATCTTGTTGACTACGAGTATGCGGAGTATACGGAGCAATGCCCCGTACTACCATCCCACTACGGATTATAGTATACAGTGTATACAATTGATGCATGTCATCTTCAGGAGAACTTGAACTCGAACTAAACAAACTCAGTCCCACAGCCAAGACACCGCGCGAAATCAAAGTCCAAATATGCGCCTCAATCTGACAAATAATCATTCCCAATTCTAAGCGGGTCTCTCGGCACTGTCGCAATGCAGAAAACTAAAACATATCACAAGCAAAGAAAAAAAAAGACAACAAACAGCTTGAAACAAGTATGCAAAACTAGGGCTTCCAAGAAACCCCTCTCCCCTCCCCTCTCCTACCCACCAACTACCACCCCCAATCCAATCATACTTCACCACTCGAGTCACATCATGCGATAAACAAGGTCAGAGGCCAGCTCCGGCGTCATATCAAGCAATGATCGCAAGCTCTTCGGCGCACCCTCATCAGCCCGCTCCACCCGCACATCAATCGGTCGCAAAGAAGGCGTGGCAACCTCACTATCACCGGGAGAATGATATCGCGCCAGTTCCTTGACCTTACAAGCCGCATAATGCACGACCAATCGCCGCAGCTCGTTCTCCCGAAGCTGCGTCGCGGAGGTAGGTGATATCGGCTCGAGACGAGTCGTCTTGGTATAAGCATACCGGATCAGGTCCAGCACCCTCGGCGCCTGCCGCGCAGCCAAGCCGCCGAGGACTGCGCTATCCTGGTACGGATCCATCAGGTCTGCGTCGGCGAAAGTGAGGTACATCAAGTCGCAATGCAGTTTCCGCAGGCAGAGCTGTGCTCAGGCGGGGATGAGGTAGCGCGTGGCGAAGACGTAGACTTTTGCGTGGAAGGTTAGGTATGGGAGGTCAGTTGGACTGTCGTTCACGTTCATGTTCAGGGTGGTAGGTGTGACTTGGTGCTCGTCGTTGTATCGCAATGTTGCGAATTCGTCCCATAGGCTCATGCCCGGTGTCCGAGGTGATGCGTCCGGCTGCTTGGCGAAGGACATATCGATCACTGGCTTTGGCGGATCAATTGGCTCATTGGTAGCGGGCTGGTCTTGATCTCCATCTCCAGGCTCGGCCCAGCTCTCGTTGGCCTGTTGCTCATCGCCATTGGATGCTTCCCACTCTTCCTGAGGGGGTGTTACAGACTGTGTTGCAGTCTCGGGCATCGGTTCTAGATCTTGTTCTGCAGGAGGCTCGAGCTCTGCATGCTCCGGCTCTGCAGCAGGAGCATCTGCAGGAGAAGTTTCTGCAGGCCCCTCCTCTGGTGATGTAATTTCGGCTGGCTGTTCGGCAACAGACTCGGGTTTGATGGACTCGATAGGATCAACGGGCTCGGCGGGATCCTCTGTTGCATTGTCGAGTGACAACTCATGCATCTCCACTGGATTTGTCGGAGGTGTGGTGGGCGGCGTCAGGTTTGCGGGTACATCTTCCTCCGCTGCGAGTTGATTCTTCTTTTTCTTTTTGTCTTTCCTCTTTCCTTTCTTGCCCTTGGATTCACTGTTATCCTTTGGCATTTTGTCTTCCGTAGGCCAGGATGCCCAGTCGTCGGCGTCATTTGCAGGCTCGGGTTCTGCCTGTTCATCCGCTTCTGGGAGAGGAGACAAGCCAGCCTCAGCCTCAGCCTCCTGAGTCTCATCGGGTTGATCATCTTTCTTTTCCGCCGGTTCCTCTACCGATTCCACAGGGGCCTTGTCTTCCTCCACCACCCCAGTCTCAGCATCTGCTCCGGCTTCTGCTTCAGCCCCCGTAGTGGCCTCTGCTGCAGCCTCCGCAGCAGGGTCTTCTCCAATCACCGACGAAGTCTCTGGTTCAGGTTCAGGTTTAGGTTGAGGTTGAGGTATGCTTTCAGTCTCAGCCTTGGACTGGCCATTGTCAACAAACTCAGGCGGCGGCGATGGAGCAGGCGGCGGAACAGCCGACGACATCGAGCTGGAGCGATACGTGCCTCTCCAAGTGTTAACGGGACTATGCACGCTCTCGGCAACACTGACGCGATGCTCTCGAGGCACCGGCGCCTGTGGTACCTTGTAGTCCCCCGTATAAGCATATTCACAGAAAGCGACAAAGGTCTCAACATCCTCTTCCTCCAGGACGGCTATTCGGTGTCTGGATTCCCGGGTATGCCCATTGTTCATGAGATTATGCAGTGGTTTTGAGACATGTTGGGCTAACGCCGATTGGATCGTTAGCTTGGTGTGTCGCGGGCCGACAAGGAAGGTAAATGAAGGCGAGTGGATGATGCTGTAGTTGGGAAGACGCTCGGTCGGGTCAGCGCTGTTCGTTTCTGGTATGGAGGTGGGTTGAGGGATTCTCAGCACGCACCTACTATAGTCGGGAGGGTCCATGGGGTGAAGTTCAAGTTTGTCCTGGACGTTGACGTCGAGCACTGGCAGTTCAGTTCGGTCTTCGCTTCGGCTTTGTGATTTCGATTTCGAGTTACTCCAAATAATATTCACACTGAAAGTGAAATGCCCCTGTTGCCAGTGATTCAAGTTCCGAGCCGTCTACTGAATTCCCCTGTTGCTTAAATATATTCCTGGGCCCCTCAGGCCAAGTCACACAAGGTACCAAGTTGACCCTCGGGCACAGCAAGCGACCCAGATAGCGCGAGTAGTCTGCTACGTGTGCATCGCTGATGGGTGTGGGTAAAGGGCAAGCTATCGACGCCAACGCCTCGTGCAGACCGACTCGACTCGAATCCCCGAGGAAGTTACTGTATCAAAGTGGCCGGGGTTTCTGTCATCCTTGCGAGGTCAGGCGAGCGTTGTTATTCACAAATGAAGCCCTGGGGAAGCGCGCGACGCGGAAGATTCATTGCATCTGTTTCCAACGCCCTGCATACTGCTGCATTCAAAAGTGCCGAGTGGAAACATCGTGGTCGGGGGCCATTCGATCGACTGAGATGCTGCGCTGGTGCGAGACTGGAGGGTTCATGCCCAATCCCTAGCCTGCTGAAGACCCAATGGGTGGGCCTCGTTGACCGCAGCGTGGGGATTTGTGGATTGCTTCACTTTTTTAGGCCCTTTTCTTCTTTTGTTTGAGTGTTTTGTTAGCCTTGCCTTGCGGGAAGCGTGGCGGATAATGTTGTTTTGGTCGAGTTGGCAATGCCCTAGCGGTGGGTGGAAGGTGGAGAAGTGAATGACATGGTAGGAGTAGATGGCTAAGGATGGTGAATATACTAGGTCATGCGCAATGCCATATTACCTCTATCCTTGAGAATGCTCATTATCTTCAATGAATGATAAAATTCCTCTCAGATAAATCCAGTATAAAGGTACTAGTACAATATGTAGTGGCATATGCCCGTCCCCACTGCCGGCCATGGCAGCCCTACGACTAAGCAACACCATTACCATAGTAGCAAAATCCAGAATGAAGAGGGGAATATCATCAAGTCTATAGAAACACGTCTCTAAGTCACACCAAATCATACATACAATACATCACATCTTCTCACAAGTAAATTCACCCCCCAACTCAGTGGCCATGCACGAGACGAATCTCCGTACTACCAGGCTCCCACTCCCTCAAGCCCTCACCAACACTATACCAAAAGCGCAAAGTAATACACTCCTTTCTAGCGCCCTCAATATCCCCTCTATCAAACGCACCCGACAAAGCCCCCACACACACCATAATACGCATATCATTCTCCGCCTTCAACGCCTCAATCTCCGCCTCCGCCTCCGGGCTCGCACCCACTTCTTCAATAGTCTCCTGCACCTCCATAACCTCCATCAAAGTCTGCGCATCGAGCGCGTGTTTGGTCGAGGCGTCTTCGGCTGTCACGTCGATGCCGTGCCATTCGCGCAGGAGGTACTGCGCTCGCTGGAGCGGATCGGCGAGTGTGCGGTACGCCTCGTTGATGCGGGCGGATAGGGCTTCTGCGTGCTGTTTCGCGTCTCCGGATGGGTATTTGTCTGGGTGAATGAGGCCTTGTAGTTGGAGGAATTCGCGGCGGAGATCAGAGATTGAGATCTCGAAGGGTGAGGATGGTGGTGGGCCGGATGGAATTGAGCGCGGGAAGATCGTATAGTAGTTTGTTATATCTGGGGCGCCGACTAGAGTTGATTCGCCGGCTGCTGTGTCTATTCCAGATTTTGTGGATGCGAATCGGGAGTTCAGCGAGCGCGAGGGCGAAGATAGGATTGATGGCTGGGATCGAGATAGAGCTGCTTGGCTTTGAGCGGGCTGTGCGCGGTGTTGACAGAGCATCATGCATGCATTTCGCTGGATTGTTCGAGAAATTCCTGATCGAGAGGATGGTGTGGTTAAATTAGAGACCACTGGTCGACTTAGATGTCGCAGGCTTTGCGCACTGAACGCCATGATGGAATATTATGCAAAGGGGTCGGAGTCAAAGAAGGTCTAAATTGACTCCGCAGAGAAGAAGCGTTCGCCGCGGAGGAAAAACTACTTTTACGTCATCCCCGCATTTAGTGCACGTGATATCGTAGTAGAACAGACTACAAAACTTCGCTTTTTACTTCGGGCGAGTTATTTATTGCTCTGATTATTAATCTGTTCATATAATGATGGATTTTCATTTTGGTTCTGCCTCGGAAAGGGAGGTTCGTGGGTATCGCGGCCAAGGCAGACCGGAATGACGAAACGTCGTCCGGTGGATTACGGAGCGAACAGGTTAGAGTCAGTGTGGCTGTAGGTGCAGCTGCATATGCAGCTGCAGCAAGTCGATCCAGAATCAAGAGACCAATCACTCAATCCCCCACAACTTGACAGTCCGATCGTGGCCACAACTGGCGATCCATTTGGCGTCATCACTAACATCAGTACTCAGGACGTTACCTGAGTGACCGCTAAGGCTTTTCACCAGGGACCAGTCATCCGCGCTGAAAATATTCACGTTTTTGTCAAATCCACTGGAAACAAAGAAAGTCCCAGACTTCTTTGGTTGAGGGGCTTCCGGGGTCGCTTCAGTGGGCGGGGCACCATCGATATCCATCTGGCCATTGGTGTCTGTAGTTGGCAAATAAGAAGCCGCTTCAGCTCCCTTGTACCAGCGTAGATCAGACACGACACTCTTGTGTGCACCAATACCACCAGTATTCCGCACCTGGCGCAGATCCCAGCACTTAACCCAGCCATCACCGGCACCTGAAAGGACCCGATAGCCATCCACGCCCCAATCCATGGCGAAAATCTCACGGACATGCCCCTCGAGAACCATCACAGTCCGTCCAGTTCGCAGATCCCAGATACGTCCAATGCTGTCTAATCCACCACTGGCCAGGAGAGATCCGTCATTGTTGAATGACACCGCGTACACCTCTCGCGAATGGCCTTCTTGTAGTTGCAGTTCTGTTGTAGTTTCGACATCCCACAGTCGCCAAGTGGTGTCGTAGGACGCCGATGCAGCATACCGTCCAGAGGGGTGGAATTCTGTCCGACAAACCCGCCCCGAATGACCGGAGAGTGTAGCCAAAGGCTGTTCCTGGTCCAAGGCCCATAGATTAATGTTACCTTCTCCACCTCCGGATATTAAATTGACCGACGAAGGGGAGACGTTGGATTGGGGTAATGTCGCTCCGGGGAACCACGAAAGTCCTCCCACGCGATCTGTATGCCCCTTGAGAGTCGCCTTCTCGTCCAAATTCGGCACGGAGAGCAACTTGATTCCTCCAGCCCAGTTACCAGCCGCGATCGTCTGTCCATCAGGCGCAAATCGACAGATACTCACAGGACGATCGCCAGCAATTTGTGAACCGTACAAATCGAATCCTTGAAGTTTCTCCTTGATAGCTTTGCGGTGCTTCACATGCGTGCGGAGGGGGATCGTCGACTCCTCTTTGAGTCTGGCGACACGGGCCTTTGCCCTGGGCAAGGAATAATGCGCAATCGTTTTGCGCGCTTTTAATAGCTCGTCCGTGCCTTCTGTGTAGAACTCTTCCTGTTGCTCTGCCTCTTCATCCTCGGGCTCCTCCATTTCAATATCCTCGCCCGCTTGCCGTTCCGAGAGATCGGTCAAGAGCTCGCGCAGACGGTCTCGTCGGTCACCGGGGCCTTCACCGAAAAGTGTGATGGGCTCGCCGAGCTCTCGTAGTCGTTTGCGCACTCGGGTGTCGTCTGTCGGTACGGCCATTGCGGCTGCTCTGCGCTTGCGCTCGAACTGGGATAGAATCGCTGAGGCCCGCTCGGCGGGGATCCCCGCGGTAGAAGGAGGAAGTTCATAGTCTTGGTCGGTGGCTATAGTTGTCAAGGTTAGAGGTAGGTATCACAGGTGGGAGTCTAAAAGAGACAACTTACGGAGATCAGCAAGGCTAATGCCCATGTCAGTGTCCTGGAGGTAGATCGAAAGTTAGTCTTCTGTCAATTCAAGTTGCACCTTGACGTAGCCTTGCTCGAACGAAATTCCGAGGCGGGCAATCTGGTGCATGAACGCGCACTGGGTTGGAGCTCCAGTGGCATGGACAGTGGCTTACCTGGGCTTCCTCGACATAAGCCTGTCGGGATGGGTGCATCATCATGGCGCAACAGAAGCTGACGCTTCACGGCAGCAGAAACAGCAACAAGGCCTGACCTAAAGTGCTTTGCAGACGAGGGGTGGCGAACTGGAAATTGGGCGGGTTGAGGGAATGTCGCGGCGATGAAGTTGCGGGCGGCAGAAACTAATCAAAGCAGAAAATTTACCCAGTGCAGCTATACTATGAACACAACCAAACCTCAGTAGGGTAGTAGATATACTATATACTATGATATCCTAGCAGAGTATAATTATACCACTCACCTCACCTCCAAATTCACAAATTCACAAATTCGCCAATTCACACACTCCCAACCTCCAACTCAACTCTCCCACACGATGACGCGAGGCGGTCAATCGCGATAAGCGGCTTATCCATTTTATTCGTCCCCGTCGGGGTGGCACTTTTTGTTCTCTCTTTTCTTTTTGTTTAGGGCTCCTCTCTTTTACCCTCTCTTCTACAGTACATATACTCCTTCGTCTTCAGCATCTCTATTCGATGCTCCTCTGAGCTACCTCAGGAAGCTCGACCGTTCTCCCTGCGATGCTCGCGCCAGTCCCCCGTCGAGCCTGCAGTTCCACCTGCAGCCTCCAAGCCCTTCGAGCCGCGCCCAGGGCTTCGTTATGTACAGGCACCCTATATAACAGAACTAGACCCTCCTTCGTGACTGCATCCGCATCTGCATCATACCCCTCGAGCGTCTCCCTCTATATATCCTCGCGCAAATCCTTCCACTCAACCCCCCGAACCGACTCGTCCCAACAATCCCGCATCTCCTATCGGGTTGCCGTCTCTTCATCAGGCAAAGGAAAGCGCTTCCACCCTCTCAAAAATGCATATAATTTCGACCCCACGATCGCAGACGTCCTAGGCGTCTCAAATGATAAAAACCCCGCCACCCGCCGGCGCAGTCGCCCAGATAGCGGCGAAGACGCCTTCTTCGTGAGCCGCGTCGGATACGGATCCGAATCCGAATCCAAATCCAGCCCCGACGGGAACCGCCCCCCAACATCCCGAGATCAGCCCGACCAAAACCCAAATTCAGAAGCCGTCGCCTTCGCCGTAGCAGACGGCGTAGGCGGCTGGACCGAATCACGCGTCGACCCGGCAGATTTCTCCCACGGACTCTGCGCCCACATGGCGCAGTCAGCCCTATCCTGGACCCAACCCGCCGACCAACTCCGACCAAAGCAATTACTCCAAGCAGGCTACGACGCGATCGTCGCTGATCCATCCGTGAAAGCAGGCGGTAGCACGGCGTCCGTCGGCATCGCATTGCCAGATGGACGGGTCGAGTTGGCTAATCTCGGCGACTCGGGTTCGGTACTTCTTCGTCGGGCTGCGGTGCATACGTACTCGACTCCGCAAACGCATGGCTTCAATACACCCTACCAACTAAGCCTTATCCCACCGCGCATGCGCGCGCAGGCGAATATCTTCGGCGGAGCGTTTTTGGAAGATTTCCCCCGTGATGCGTCTGTTACGAATGTTCAGATGCAGCATGGTGATGTCCTTATGCTTGCTACGGATGGCGTGTTTGATAATTTGAATAATCAGGATATTCTGAAGCTTGTTTCGAGTCGGATGGTTATGACGGGTGCTTGGACTGCGGAGCCGGGGCAGGGCGTTGGAATTTCGGATTCGCTTCGTTCTCTCACTGTGCCTGGTGGATTGGCTTCTGCTTTCCCACCGCCGGCTAACTCGAAGGAGAGTAAGGATTTGGATCGGATTGAGTCTACGCTTACGCTTCAGTCATTACTTGCCGCGTCTATTTCTGGTGAGGCGAAGATTGCTAGTGTTGATTTTCGTCGGGATGGGCCTTTTGCGAAGGAGGCTCAGCGCTATTATCCTGGTGATTACTACCGTGGTGGAAAGGTCGACGATATCACTACATTGATTCTTGTTGCGGTGGATGAAGCTGTTGTTGAAAATGGCCAATAAACTCTCAACTAACTTATGACATATACGGTGTGCTTGGATGGGCCTTGTACAACTACACCTACAACTTTTCCGAGTTTTCGGGCTCTCTTTTGTTTTCCTTTTCTCATCTCATTGCTTCCGTGCATTCATGTGGCGCTTGGCTTGGCTTGGCTTGTGCTTTGTTTGGTTTGGTTTATATTTTATCATGGTATTTGGGTCACGGTTGGTTGGGTATGCATTGGTAACTAATCATATGGCCCATATTATGTTTCTTCCCCGGGCCCCCTTTTTGTCCGGCGTGATGTGATTGATACCTTTTATATTCGAACCGTCGGTTTCGGGGTTTGGCTTTTTTGATACTAGACATGGTTGGGTCTCCATTGCGAAATCAGTGGTATATAACAGATAGATTTGGCTGGGCTGGTGGTGAATATCCAATATTTTTGCATGCAGTGTCTACTAGTAATTAAGAGTGATGTGCTTGCCATTGATTCATCGGATAAGTCTTCTACTAATTATCGCTCACTTGACTATATCAATTTTCCATCGATGGAAGCTTGTCCCCTATCCGCCTGTAGTGTGGGAGGCTCCTTCACAGAGAGGCAACTTTACCAGGTAAAGTACTAGTACTCTAGCAACAGAAACATCAGTGAAGAAGTTTCATTTATTATTTCTTCAGGGTTGCCCTAATCAGCTCAGCTGCACAAAGGATAAAAAGAGACGGGTGGCTAGCCCGTCACCCATGCACCCACATATACAGAGAAGAAAACCCGTAGAGAACTTTGAACGAAAGCATCGAAAACAGCGAAGGAGACC